TTCTATCTGGCATTATATCTGACATATATTCTGACATTCTATCTGACATTCTATCTGGCAGTCTATCTGGCATTCTATCTGGCATTCTTTCTGGCATTCTTTCTGGCATTCTATCTGGCATTCTATCTGGCATCCTATCTGACATTCTATCTGGCATTCTATCTGGCATTCTTTCTGGCATTCTTTCTGGCATTCTATCTGGCATTCTATCTGGCATCCTATCTGACATTCTATCTGGCATTCTATCTGGCAGTCTATCTGACATTCCTACATGAGGTCCGGCAGGGAACACTTGGCGTGGATACTCGCGGTTGAGGTCCGGCAGGGAACACTGGGCGCGGATGGTCGTGGTTGAGGTCCGGCAGGGAACACTGGGCGTGTATGGTCGTGGTTGAGGTCCGGCAGGGAACACTGGGCGCGGATGGTCGTGGTTGAGGTCCGGCAGGGAACACTGGGCGTGGATGGTCGTGGTTGAGGTCCGGCAGGGAACACTGGGCGTGGGTGGTCGTGGTTGAGGTCCGGCAGGGAACACTGGGCGTGGATGGTCGTGGTTGAGGTCCGGCAGAGAACACTGTGGATCGCGGGTCGCAGTTGAGCAAGGACGACGAGGACGACGAGGACGACGAGGACGAGGAGGAGGAGAGGAGGACGAGGCAGGAGGAGGCGGAGGAGGAGGAGAAGGAGGAGGAGGACGAGGAGGCAACTGACATAAAATCTAACAACCCTCACCTGGCAGGTGGGGAAATATGCATCAAACGAAGTGCACGCAGACACAGCGCGACCGCCGTGTTTTCCTTGGACCCAATGTTCTTACGTGGTTCCGGGCTTCCATGACTCAGATCACCTTCAGTAGAAGTCCGAGGCCTTGAACATCGCTAATGTGTGGGCGAGAGACGCGTGGCGCATGAGAGGAGATGCAGGCGTGTCGTAGGAGCGAAGGAGCGAGACACAAGGCACGCGCAACGAGCAAGGAGTGTGTTGACAATATATTGTCCCCACCCTCCAACAGGTTTGCTTACAGATAAAGGATTATCTGCTAAAGCAGAACATTGCTTATCATTTTCCAGAGCATTTTACTTCCGAATGAAAAAACGTTTAAAAAAAAACGATATTCAGGTTCATTTAAAAAAAAAAATGTTTTTGGTTGTATGTGAAGGTTTCTCTGGTATGCGATGACTTTTGTGGAGTACGAAGATCTGTGAGGATGTATGTGGAGTGCGATGGGGTCCTCTGGAGTGCGATGACACCCCCGGAGTGCGATGTCACATGAGTATGCGCGGCCGGAAATCCCCTGACAGATGGATTCTGGACCACAATCCCCCAAATTCAACGGAGCGGATGCTTGCTGGTTGTTGTAAATTCACAGGATTTCAGTCCATTCAACAAACAAGTCAAACAATATTTTGAAACCCTTTCCTTCTTCAGTCTCCAAAATGGGAAACTCACTTATCAGGGCACGTTTTAGCTCATCCAGGCTCTATAGCATGTCAGGAACAACACAAGGCATCGATATGGTGCCAAACAATTTCCAAATTGAGCTGAAAGATCTTCCCACCGCAACCAGTCAATTCACAGGTGTGAAACATGTCACACACACAGGGAAGCAGGTTGGGAAAACAGTGGATCCAAAGGGGCAGGTCTGGAGCACGATGGATTCATAGTATAGGTCAATTTTCTGAATTTGTGTAACTTGGAGATAGAACTATTTGTCTTTTTTCCGAAAATCTCCTGAACAAGAATCTTTTTAAGATCGCCAAGCCGATGCGTTCATGCATTCCAGCGGGCTTCCTAAGCGCGCAGCAGAAGCCGCAAAAAAAGCCGGACGGGGCGCCGAAGGCGCCGCTTTTTCACACTTTGGACCAAGTTTTTGCAGGTTCCAACGCTGAGGACACTAGATAACATGTCAGCGACTTGAAACGCCAACATGTGGGTCGTGCATTACGCGCCGAAGGCGCGCTTTTTTGTATGCACAAGTGCGCAAAAACTGCTTCGTTTCACGCCGGAACTTCCTGTTGAAGCGTTTTTGAGATGATAGAAAACAGAGGCAAAAAGCAGGGTTTTGCAACTCGAAGCGGCGCCGAGAAAAATGCAAAGGCCCAAAAATCGAATCCGACCCAAAGAAAAAACGCCAAAATTGGAGATTTGAACACGCCAAAGATCCAAAACGAAAATTGGAAGTTGACGATGTTGCCTTTGAAATAGGTATTAATTAAATTCGGCGGCGAAGCCGCCGGAAAAAAAAAATTGGAGGTTTCAGGGACGCAGATCTTGAAGGAACTGGGCTCCAGCTGGGGCAGTTTGACTGCAGGAAGTTGCGGCCTTAAGCTGGAGCAGTTTGACTGCAGGACGTTGCGGCCTTAAGTTGGAGCAGTTTGACTTCTGGAAGTCCCGGCCTTAGCTGGAACAGTTTGACTGCAGGAAGTCCCGGCCTTAAGCTGCAGCAGTTTGACTGCAGGAAGTTGCGGCCTTAAGCTGGAGCAGTTTGACTGCAGCTTAAGGCCGCAACTTCCTGCAGTCAAACTGCCCCAGCTGGAGCCCAGTTCCTTCAAGATCTGCGTCCCTGAAACCTCCAATTTTTTTTTTCCGGCGGCTTCGCCGCCGAATTTAATTAATACCTATTTCAAAGGCAACATCGTCAACTTCCAATTTTCGTTTTGGATCTTTGGCGTGTTCAAATCTCCAATTTTGGCGTTTTTTCTTTGGGTCGGATTCGATTTTTGGGCCTTTGCATTTTTTTCGGCGCCGCTTCGTGTTGCAAAACCTTGCTTTTTGCCTCTGTTTTCTATCATCGAAAAAACGCTTCAACAAGCAAAGTGTTCGAAAAAAATGTCGTTTGTCTGCATTTGCGGGCCCCCGGCGCCGACGTGGCCGAAAGTTACCAAACAAATGTACAGTAAAAAATTCGCGAGAGTTTCCCCCTTCACTCTGCCCTCAAACCTACCATTTTTCGGGCAATCCCCCCCCCGGCGGGTCGCCAAATTGAAGTTTGGAAATGCCGCTTCCAAGATACGGAAAAAGAAACTTTCGGCTTATATATATACCTTGAAATTCATACTGCTAAAATATATTGGTCGTTTGTGTCGGTACCATTTTGTTTGGTCATTTCTTCGAAAACCAGGCGTTTCACAAAAAAACACATACGAACTTGATGAAAACTACAAGGTGGTGCCCTGAGTTAAGTTGGACTTATGAGCTTTATAAAAGGACTTAAGGAAGTAAACTTGAAGTTATGTTAAGTTATGTTATAGGTTTTGTAAGTTAGTTTATATATTGTGTATCTTTTTTTCTGTCGAATCTGCACTATGTTTTTCGATCCTGCGTGTGTGTCTGGCCAGTTGCGTTGTTTTACCATTGCCTGTTTGTTCTTTGGTTTGTGAGCGCGAAATGCGAAAAAATTAGGGTAAAAACATGACCACGTTGCCTTTGGCGGTGGTCCATGCAGGCACATGCATGTTTGTCATGCACGTGTGTTCAACTACATTTTTTGTTTTTTGTTTTGGAAGGTTTTGAAAGGGTCCTTCACAGTTTTTAGGAAACATTAAAAAAAACATTTTTAACACATACGCGTCGCGTTCCCTTCTATTTTTTATCTTTTCATGAGGATACACAAGTGCGTTCTCTTCTTTTTGTGGCAACGCATCCCAAACATTTACATGTTTCACCGTCATGTGATTGTAGGTGGAAACACATTTTTAATACATTCGCGTTTGCAAAAGAGAGGAGACCTCAAGCACCTTTCGGTCCATCAGTGGATTCGCTCTGCCATCCCTGATTCACAACAACCAATCTCTCCTATAGGTTTCCTATTTTTGAAACTTCCGATACCGCCTTGTGCGGTACTACTGGTAATGGTTAATAATGGTTAATAATGGTTAATAATGGTTAATAATGGTTAATATATGGTTAATAATGGTTAATAATGGTTAATAATGGTTAATATATGGTTAATGATAGTTGATAATAATCTGGTTGGTGGTGCAATAACCATCTTGAAAACTGATGGAGTTCGTCAATGGGGTTGGGATTATCCCATGGAATGGAAAATAAAAAATGATTGAAACCACCAACCTGCCATTTGTAAGTTGTACCTTCTGGTAAACCAACATAACTATGGAAAAACACCATGTTCAATGGGTAAATCCACTATTTCTATGGCCATGTTCAATAGCTATGTTAGTTTACCAGAGGGTAATTGCGGAGTCCTGTTTCTGGTCTTGCAGAGATGATTCGTAACTGCTTAAGCTGTAAATGTCCCAGGTGATACGAGGTATTGCCCACCCCAACAGGGATATCCGAACATATCGGGGGGTCCTTAAAATTGGGACCTCATCCCAAACTGGTTGTTAATGGACAACCAATTGTTTCTGGGTCTACCAATTAAAAAACACATACATCCTTTTAGTCAGTGATTACCTATACTATACGATACGATACTATACTATACTATGTATATATATATATATATGTATATATATATATATATGTATATTATATATGTATTAATATATTGGGGTTTGTCTGAAAACTGAAAATAGTTGTTTTCAATCATTTTCCCTATAAACATAGCCATTATCAAGGGTATAATAACGGCCATTTTCAGACCCATATGATGGTTTCCTAAAATGAATACCCATCGGTACTCCCAAATTATCCATTTATAGATTAGGATTTTCTATGATAAACCATGCATTTTGGGTAATGACTCATTTATGGAAGCCCCGATACTTGTAGTCAAGGGCTTCGTCAACCTTGCTCCAAACGCTTTCTATGCCATAGAAATTGTCTCCAGCTATACTATGGATCCATAGCTATAGAATCCTATATATATTTTTCGGAAAATGAACATCCACATCCATAACATTCCATAACATTCCATAACATTCCATAACATTCCATAACATTCCATAACATTCCATAACTACCATCATTGACCAGCTATTTTCCATGGTGAACCAGAGGATTTCATCATAACTTGACCCCGCGTTGGCGCGCCACGACACTGGTGAGTCCCTCAGGCGCGTCCCGACGCGCACCGGAGAGGTCGTTGATCTCCTTCCTGGGCGATTCGTGTTGGAAGGGGGAGATGGCTTAAATTGGATGATAAACTTATGAGTTTAGTGATGTTTAGTGATGTTTAGTGATGTTTAGTGATGTTCAGTGATGTTTAGTTGTCTTAAACTATAGTTTAGTGATCTTTGGTTGGCTGCAATTGGAACCTTTGACTATCCCACTACATTCGCAGATGTTCGCATGTTTGTTACACGCTTGGGGTTCCCGTTTGCGATAGCTTCACTTGGTGCAAGTAACCACAATAACTCTTGGGTTTATAGGGGATACATCGAAATGGCTGGGGTCATTTCAAACCAACATAACTGGGGGGCCGCCCTTTGCAACGATGCAAATGGGGGATGATTCAAACTGACTTGAATTGGAACCTTTGGATCTCAGAATATATTCCGAAAATGGATTGTCAATTAGTTAGGTGATATACATTGAGAAGAACCAATGAACAGGAATCCATTGCCTCGAATTGGGCTTTTCTGGCTGAATGAAGCTGTTTTGGTGCCCGTTTTGGGTGCAAACCATGGGATTTATATGTAGAATAATGTAGAATGTAGCTATCGAGCAACTATAGTGACTAGTGACTAGTGTCACTTTCCCAGATTGGTTTTCCATGACATTTGCTTGCTGAAACCACCAAAAATCGTTTGGTCAAGGTCTCTGTAATGCTCCGTAGTTGGAAAAAATCATCATCCCTGCCCAGCGATAGCCCGAGAGGCAACAGAGCTGGATAGCGTTCCAAGGCTTCGTAGCCTCAGTTGAGTCGGCACCATCCGTCTTGGGGTGCATATTATTCTGACTCAATACCATCCCCATACTCACACGTTTTGCAGGATATGTTTCTAAGCACTTGGATTGGCCATCAACTTACTGCTCAACAACTTATAATTTACGACTTCAACTTCAACACATGAAATACATGGAAATTGCCTGAAGCTATATAGCTTGGCTTGATCGTTCTGACTCTATTCTTTTAAGCTAAGCTTACTTTTAAATACTTATAAACTATCTGATTGAAACGATATACTAACCATCAACCCTCCCAGATCCTTCCCGTCCAAGTCACCAGGTTTCACTTCCTCAGCCTTGACCTTCGGCACCTTCGGCACCTTGGCTTTGGCCTCCTTGGATGCCTTGGACGCCTTCGCCTTGGGCGCCTCCGGCGCCGGTGCACGGGGCTCGGGCTCGTAGTCGAAGCAGATCGCGGAGCGGTTCTTGTTGCGCGCCTCCGCTGCGCTGCGTTGCATCTCCTTGGGGGGTGCGGAGTCCTGGTATCTGACGAGACCTAAATCTAGTGAACTTGTCAGCAATCTCAGAATGCAACTTGTGATGATCAAGCTTTGGATCAAAATGGTCAAATATGGTCAATAAATTGGCTACATTTCAACAATGGTTTTTAACACTAACTATATACATCTTAAACCCCGATATAAACCAACACAAACGAATGGCTCCCCTTGAGCCCGCCGGCAGCTTCATTCTCCAAGGTGCCAAGTAAGCCACGCGCGACTGGTCGGCGTCAAACTTCCCCAGTGAGGCGTCCGAAAGCTTCTTGATATTCGCGCGTTTGTTGGCCATGGTCACTGCTTCATGTTCCTCTTGGGTCCTCGGAGTTGCGGAACCTTCTCGTGGTTTTTTGGGGTCCCATACGGTCTCCCAGTGATATGAAAAAAGATGTTATCCTTCAAACAATAAGGCACTCCCATGACTATGGTTCTCATTTCGGGGTGATATTAGAGGGATCTATATGGTTATTAAACCACAATACCATCTAAGTTCGGCATCTCCAAACCGCTTCTACCGTTGAGGGGATCCCCCATTGTGGCTTTAGGGCAGTTCAGCCCGGTACCCTGGTGAACACCAGAAACTAGCTGCTGAATGCATGGTCTCCCAGGCCCCAAAAGAAAACAAAAGATGGATTACCCTCCTCCAAGTTGACAATTAGACCCTGCCAACAGTTGGGGGAAGATGAGTTTCCACTAAGAATGGGCTATCTTCTATATTAAATAAGCAGAGGGTCACATGGTGTTCAACAAATATTGACCCCTCTCCATGATGGATCCACCACCCCATGACAAAAAACAATGTCCCTGATGAAATTTCCATCAATTGGGGGGCTGCTCCATTTTCACACCCAAGTATCAACCACAAAAACATGGTTCTTATTACAGTTAAAGCCCTTTACCCGTTGTTTTTTATCCTTAAAAATTACAAATGAGATCATCAAATCATACCATAAATATGCTTATAACTTGTAAAGGGCCATAAGTGTAGCCTCTGGTACTTCAAACAGCTATGGAAAATGGCCCGATTCGCCCTTTAAAAAATGGTGATCGTCCATATAGCAAACATTGTATAAACTCCCAAATCCCAGTAAGAATCCATTTTAAACATCCAAAACGCTACATCTATTTTATAGATCTCTGTCATGTAGGCTAACCAAGGGTGATTTACCCATTAAAAATGCTGATTCATCGATGATTTTCCATGATTTTCCTTCTTAAAATTTCAAAAAAAAATCAGGTCACTGACGACGACACGGGGCATCTGTGACACGGCGGAGACCACCGACGCTTCGGTGCGGGAGGTGCTGGGTGCACTCGAGGGGTTGGAAGGGGCGACCACCTTGGGCGATTTCGAGCGTTACCCAGTTGGATACCCTCTGGTAAACTAACATAGCTGTTGAAAATCATCATTTTTAATGGGTAAATCAACTATTTCTGTGGCCATTTTCAATAGCTATGTTAAATTACCAGTTGGATAAGGGTTATGGCACCATGATCAGATCCATGGGCTGGAAAAACCCTAGTAATCTTATATGTGGTTATGGCCCCATAGTTTTGCCCACTAATGATATAGCAATGTGAACGTAGTTATGTTGAGGGGCTAGAAAAAAAGGGGTTACCACTTAGCATTTCATTGATTAAGTGATCTAGCCAAGATGAGGTGATATATGAGGGTTACCCTCTGGTAAATTAACATAGACCCTGCCAGATAGGGGTTGGAAGATTAGTTTCCATTAAAAAAATGTTATTTTCAGGGTCTATGTTTATTTACCAGAGGGTAAATGGTTAAACAGCTACTTCAGGCTGCAGTGCAACCTCCATGGTGCCATAAGCTCCATAGGATTTTTTGGGCCCCACGGGCCCATGGTGATTTTTCCGTAGCCAGTGATTGGTGGAACTGCACCCCCAGGGACTATCCACAACCCCTGAGAAGGTACTTGGATCAAAAGGGCTACATATGAAAAATACTAATAGACTTATATCATGATATCTAGATATTGTATCATGTATGGACGGATATCATGAAAATTACTCGTATCATGAAAATTACTAACATATATATTGTTATATCATGAAGAGTACTAATATAGTTTTTTAATGATATCATACATTGTATGGACGGATGAGTAGATGGATGTATGGATGTATGTGGTGACAATGTATGGATGTATGAGTGGATGTGTGGATGTATTCATGTACATAACATATGTACGTACATACGTACGTACGTACGTACGTACGTACAGCACTTACTTACCTAAGTGGCCTAAGTGTATAGTTATATAATATATATATATAACAAAAACATAATGGTATCCTATCCAATGAATTATGAAATTGTCCTGCAATTGTTATGTATATGTATATACATATATATGGGGTTGTCTAACAATGATCCCTATTTTGTGGTTGTCATGACTGTCGTGGATTCTACCTAAGAATGATTTTCTGGATTTTCATTTGAATATCGTGGGTTTTACCTATAGAATGGACATCAATAGGAATGATCAGGATTAAACATTGATTTATTTGGAATCAAATGCAAATCTAGTTCCATCTAATTATATTACTGGGCTAATCTAGTCGGAACATTCAGGATTTAACCAGCATGGTGATCTTGCATTTGATCAGGAATGTCAAGGGATATTTGTTAAGTGGAAAACTCCATCTTCAACCCAATGTTCAACTCAGAACAATCCATCTGCGACTCGAATCGCCAGAAAATTTTGGTGCTTCGCCATTGAAAGGTACCATTCATTTTCTCATCCTCCCATGAGGGAACTAACATAACTACCCTCTAATCAAATATGGCAGTGGAAGATCCCCCATTTAGTGACTGATGATTTTCTCATCTAAATGACCATTTATATCCATTTATTGTGTAATTATTTCCCAGCTACCAGTAGCCAGCTTTGACTCCGAAGGGTTTATATATCGTATATCCCATGATCAGCAATCAAAAACCAAATCTATACACCATTCTAAACCATTCTAATCTATTATTATCACTTGTTCATCAGCCTTAACCCTCCATAAATCTGGTTGAACTATAACAATTCACAAACCTGCAGATAGCAGAAATAGGTCCATGTGAGGATGATTCCCCTTGCTAATCACTATTCCAGTGACGTCACGACGTGAGGTCATTATGATATTATAATTCATCAAGTTATATACAATGGGAGTATAAGGAGATGAATGGGGATATAGGTGTTTCAATTATCAGTTATTACACCATTAAGACTAAATCCCGGCCGCTGTCATGGAAATATGAACATAATGCGTGTATATATATATAACAGGAATGATATGCGGGAAAATCCCATTTTGTGTATATATATATATATAGGTGATTAATCCCATGAGTGATGGAGTTTACACGCGATAATAATGGGATTCATCAAATCGGTTGATAAAGGGATTCATGGGATTTGGGATTAGCCTATGATTGTTCCCATAGTGGGACTAATGACATTTTAGCGGCGTAATGCCATTAACTAACGACTCCATATATATATATATACATATTACATATGCATACTTCGTGTATGTGTATGTACGTGTATATTATATATATATATATACAATCCATATTGTGCTAATGTACGTGAGATATGATTGGGATGTACTGGCAACATGGTAGACCCAATGACAGAAACCTACCATTTAGAGATTCACACCACCAATTCTCATTAACTGGGGACGATTTTTTCTCATGACAAAAATATCAGGAAGACCAACGATTTCGTCGTTTATTTCGTCGTTTCACTACAAAAAATCACGACCAAATATCGGTTATTTTAATGCGCGGCTGGGATTCCACACAGTATTTCTAAAACAATAATAAACCATCCCCAAATTCACCATAAATAGGTGGTGGAAAAAAATGGGTGGTTTATGACATTGTTTTACCCACATTAATTGGAATCAATTGGGTGGTTTTCTCTTGGTAAACATTTGGATACCATGGTTGCTGCAACTCCGTATGCAAATCATCCAGAGCTCCTAATCCTTAGAGTCGTTGTTTCTCTACACCATGCTGACCTTCAACTATGCGTGGCGCCAAGTTCAACCCCAACCCGTTTGGACTTACGTCTTTACTATCTTTTCGTACTCAAGATTCAAGGGTTAAAATATTCGAAAAACCAATCAAGTATTCAGACTACATCTATAGTAATAGTAACCCCAGAAAAAGATCGAAAAGTGAATCTTCACTAATTCAATGGGGGTTCTCTATGTTTTTTCTGTTCTATCTTTTTTGGGATGACTATAGATAAGTTTCCCATATGTATACATATGTGTATATATATATATTCTTTATATATATATATATTCTTTATATATATATATCAACTCTTGCTTTTCCAAATAATGATATGTATTTGTATATGTACATAATTTAAATGCAAAAAAAATATCTGGGGTTCTGTGGGGGGGCATTAAGCATGTGTATATATATATATACACATATTATACATATGTGTATATATAAATATAAATATACTGTGTATATATATATATACATATGTATGATATGTATGTATATATTAAATATATATATATATATCTATACATAGATAAGTTTCCCATCTAAGTGTCCATTTAGTTCCTGGATAAATCGCCGCCTTGGAAGCGGGAACTGCCAGCTCCTCACGCAACTCCTTGCTCCAAGGTGGGGGGATTTAACCATCAAACACCAAGGGAATTCACGGATTTAAATGTTTGATATGGCAGTGTGTCAAAACCTTGTACCCCTGTAGTTCACTTCAAAATAGCTGGGATTTATGGATGTGAATAACCCACTAAAAATGGTATTAATAGGTATTGATCCATACCCATATGGTTAAATGTGATGATTTAATATGATGGTTTAATCCCCTCGTGAAAAAATGGTGATAATCTTAAAATGTGATGATTTAATATGATGACTATCATGATTTAATATGGTTTAATATGGATATGATCATGGGTGATTTCATATGATTTAATGAATGGAGGATTTGATGAATAAAACTGATTTCATAGGATTTAGTCAGTACATATGATCATGAATTCTGAATGGATCTGTTTAAGGGAACATCTTAGCTGGAAATCATCTTTTAGCACCAAATGTTCTAGGAAACTTGATTCAACCAGCGATGTGGATGGAACCACCATTCTACAGGAATTGTGGGAATATTGTTGGATACAAATGGGATATCAATGGGATAACGAAAAGGGGATACATCATCAGCCCAGAATATGATGAAAAAGAACCTGCTTTTGTGGTTTACAAAAAGTCTTCTTCGGGATGATCTTGTATATAAAATGACCCCAAATGATTGTTTTTTTTCTGGGATGGTTCATGAAAATTGCTAGGTTTACCACATTTTACTATATGGGACCACCAAGCAATCATCGCTTCGAAGATGGATCTCGTTATGTCTCGTTCATCTTGGACATGGACCAACTCTGAGATGGTCGAAAAAAAAATCTAGTTGTGTAAAATCACAGTTTAATTCAAAAAAGACATGGTTTAGGCATGTTTAGGCTAGATTTATTGGCAGTCCTCCGATGAAAACCCTTTGCCCCTGGGGTTTTTCCCTCACTCATCTTTACCAAGCCAAGGCAGGGATCGATGACCTTTTTGTCCAACACTTGTTCGATCAAACTCATCATCTTCTTCTCGACTGCCTCAGAGGAAGGGAACGAAACCACGATTTTAGTGGTCGAAATGGAGGGAATCTCTGGCTTCATGTCATTGTAAGGCAAGGCTTGACTGTAAACCCTAAAATAACATGGAAAAAACAAATATAGTTGGGAATTAGAGAATAGAGGGAATACTCTATTAATCGGGAATTCCCATTAACAGTACCATTCATATTTAAACCCTGTATAATCACTTCAATCTGGGAATTGACGAATTGGAATTCTTCAATTTCCCACTCAAAAGCAATTACTTTAACCACTGCTTTAGTGGGAACTTCCACTTCGGCCTCTGGGGCCGATGGCCTTCGGGGCCGATTTAGTTATTAATTGGCTTGTCCAGACACGATGCCCGAACTTGCAGCTTGATTATCTTGATACACATAGGATTCTACAAGTTGAAACATGTTGTTATAGATTGAATATTTGAAGCGATCCCAGGTGAAGTCCAACTGTCGGCCAACTTGTTTTCAGCAGTTTCATTGTCTGCCTTCAGACAGCTTTGCTCAGCGCCTCGCAGCCAGGCCTTCAACTTTGGAGGTAAGATGAGCTAAGGAGCAGCAAAACCATGAAGATGGCTGACCAGCAACGCCGAAACAGACAGGTCGATCGTGTCAACTGTGCTTGCTTCGCTGCCTTGGCCTCGAAGCTGCTGTTGGGTGCCTTTTGGTTGATGAATCTTCAGAGATGAAGCGTCGACAATATGTCCAAGACATTCCAATACCTTACCCTATATTGAGTTAAACCCAGTAACCATCACCTATCACATGTTTTTGTTGGTGAAAACATGTCATTAGGATCCCTAAACCTATAAACCCTAAACCTCCAAACAGCCATTTGAAAGGTGATTTAGGTAGGCTGCTGGGGTGTTACTGAAGTACGCAAGGAAGTCTATCTAGTAGGGCAATGTCACTGCTCAGCTGTAACAATCATCATTCATCATATGTGTTGCTCGTAAAAACATGAAACCCCTCTTTAAAAAATATAATCCCTGAACAATCTACAGTATCAGGATTTTCCGTCAAGAATAGGGATTTGATATAATATATATATATACATATACATACATTGATTATCACATATTAGTATATATAAAGATGTGGTTTATCTATATAAAAAAAAAAAAACGAGGCTTGATTGATGGCATAAAAACCATGGACACAGATCAGTGGTGCAGTTCCACTAATCAGTGTTTTTTTTCAGCATGCCGAAGTGATGAAGGTTATTACCATGGTTAAAGCAGTTGTTTAATCATTTATATATTTTTAGGTAATAATTATAAATCATCATGTGTCTTAATTACCATGATTTATCATGATTATTTATTATGATGTTATAATAAATCACCTATAAATCATCATGTGTCTTCCTTTAATCAGACAGATGCTGATTTGTCGTTTCCTGTCCCAATCAATAATAAATCCTCCCTTGGTTGTTATACGCCCCACTTTCCATCCTCGAATCACCATACATCACCAAATTTTCTTTGGTTCAGTGAAGTCCCTATTTCTGTTGCTTAAATCATATCATATCACATAGTAAATCATCCTAAATCATCTTAAAACATATTGAATCATATAAAATCATGTTAAATCACCATTCTTGTTGGTCAATCACCACTTTTTTGGCTAAATCATGATCTTTCTCTCTATATATATATATATATAATTATATATAATTATATATATATAAGTTTCTTGCTTAAAATCATCTTAAATCACCATTTTTCTTGGTTTTTCATATGCCCCCCATCCGACCCCCGGTGCCGCCATGGGTGCCGCTTCCTTCACCTTGGCCGAGGCCGTGCTGCGTCCCGTCACCGGGTTCGCGTCGCGCGCTGACTTCACCGAGGAACGACCGCTGGGCGGCCTGGGACGATGGGGAAAAGATGAAGTTTCTGTACTTTTTTAGATGTGATATGGTGTTGATATTATGTTTTTTATGTTGTATATATATATATATCATGTTTTCTTAATATCGTTTATATATATATATTATATTATATGATGTATATATGTTGTTTTATTGAGTGTTCAGTGTTTTAAGCTGTGTTTTGAGTGTGGTTAGATTCGATTGTTGTTAGATGTTAGTAAAGCAATAGGATCCACCATCCCCAATTTCACAATTTTTGATAGGTATGAACCATCAAAATATTTACAGCTTATGACATTTGTTTGCTAATTTTGCGATGTCTTTACCTGTTCTTATTTGATTTATCAAGTACCCTCTGGTAAACAAACATAGCTATTGAAAATGGCCATTTATAGTGAGTTTTTCCATTCAAAATGGTGATTTTCCTAGTTATGTTAGTTTACCAGAGGGTATATAAGTATCTATGCTTCAAACTGGAACGATTTTCGGATTTGCTTTTCCATCTATTCGGATGGGTATGGGTCTTCAAAACGGATGGTTTCAGAAGCTTCAGATCCGATAAAACAACCATTTGTGGGTCAAGAATGGCATCCCAATGCCTTAACAAATTTGAGATCGATCAAGAGCATTTTTTCGAATTCCAGGTGATTTGTTTCACATGTTTACGAATTTAAATTCAGAATCGTGCATTTTTCATGCATTGACAATTTCCCCCCAAAATTATCGGCAGCGCAATGAAATACGATGAATCCCTTTCCCCCGAAGATTTTCACCACCCGGTAGCACCATGATGAATAGAAATTTAGGACCATAGGAACTTCCACATTTTTGTTGGACCATAAAAAAGGGGATGAATGATTGATGAATGATGAACAATCCACCATGTCCATTGACCCATGGTATCTATATCTTCCATGATTGACCATCATTTTCCCTAGTTTTTGATTGCAGGTTAGATCCCTTTCCCAATAAATGAAAAATCCCCCAAAAAAGACTTCAACGAGGATGCTCGGAGGTGCGTCATCCTGTTATTCTTGGCTCTAGTCCGTTGACAAAAACCAAGACTTTGTGAAAATCAAATATCCTCTGATAATTCATAGCTATTGAAAATGGCCATTTATAGTTAATTTTCTCATTAAACATGGTGATTTTCCATAGTTATGTAAACGTTTACCAGAGAGTAGTAGGGAAATGCCGAGGACTTCCTTGGCGGAATTGCCGTTCGGGCCCATCTCAAAACATGTTCAAAAACCGTTCGCTATCTGTTCGGAAAGGCATTATTTTGTTGCCTTTTTCTGTCCATGTTTGTGACAAGAAAGATGCGTTCATGACGAGGAAAAACCGTTCTGCGCAAGAAAAAGGCGTTTGGACAGGTCAATGGATTTGCACGACAAATTCCCTGGTTTTTAGGCTACCAGGTAGTTGTATATCCCCATCCTATCCCCATATCCGCCTAAAATAGTGGCTTATATCATCTTATATCCCCGATTTCCCATATAAATATGATAAATGTAATTGACCCCAATACTTCCGACCAAGCTGCGCGTTGTCCTTGCTCTCTTCCTTCAAAGCGCGGCCCGTGTCGGCTCCGTGGGCGATCTTTACCGAGGAAGCGTGGACCGTGTCCTGGGGGGTGACTCTTCGGTGACCCCCTTGGGAGTTGCTATTGATCCGATTTATCCACTATAAACCCTGGCTTGTTGCCGCTATTTGCACCAAGTTAGCAATCTAGAATTATCATGATCTAGGTATCGTCGCACCTTGTTTATTTATTGTTTAACGAACATGAGAACATAGTACAACATAATATAACATAGAATAACACAGGTATAACATATAGTATAACATAGTGGGAGATATAATCAACTATCATATGGTGTGAGGAACTACGATGATTAAACATAGCCAATGCGGGGAATTAAAATGAGGGGATTATAATCAGGATAATAAAGGTATCTAATTTTTACATCCAACAATCTACAATGGGAGGTATATTAATTATATTAAGAATGGCAAAAGAGTTCTACCTTGACCAAACCAGCCATTTTTGCAAGGTGATTGTGTTGACCCATAAAGATGAATGGCAATAGATCGATACCATGAAAGATTAGGAGCGTTTGAGCCATGACAAAAAATGATGTCCAGTAAGTTAGCTATCGTAAATGCGGGTCCCACTTTGTATGAAGTCCTGTTTGCAAGTGGTTGCAGATCCCACTATAGTTATGGCCCGAAATACCACTTCTAAGTCAATAAGTCACCCCAGTTATGGTCAGCTACAACCCTATAGAAAACTAAAACGTAAGCATCAAAATCAGCATCAAAATCACTGGCATTTCGGGCTTCACCATTTGCCCGTGGCTTTTCCCATGTTTCCCATGGTCCCATGGGACTTTCACTCCGCCGGGCCCTGCCGGTTTCGTCCTGCGCCTCCTGTCGCTTGGCGGCCGCTTTCTGTGCCGCCAAGGTGAAGGCGTCCGTGGGCGCGCTCTCCTTGGTTGAATGATTAGAGTTGAATTGTGATGTTTTGATGAGTTGTTGACGGATTTGATGGAATGAATATGGAATGATTTTGGTCTTTTGGGTGACTACAGTACCCCAGCGAACAAACGATATGTTTGTTGGTGTCTATAAGCCTTATCTATTAACAAAGAAACAGCACCATTTTGGAGCACCACATTGTGGGACTTGCAGCGTGCCATTGTACTTGTGACTTCTTGTGATCCACAGCCTGTCACAGTCATCCTGACAAGCAAAGGGTAAGCAAAGGCAATGGACAATTCCCTTCAATACGTAGACGATCTACAAATGTGGGGTGTTCTATTGCCATTGTGCTTTACAGGAGGCATCTCGACTGAAAGCGGTGACAGTAGACATTGCTGTCCTGCGACATGGTCAGGTCTGAACCCACAGGATGAATTGGAGGTTCCAACACTTATGCCACGGTCAAAGTACATGGGATTAATGGGTTATTGTCATAACACCATGAATGAGATTCCCCGATTGATCGCTACATGACATGTCATGATTTAACATGTCATAATGTGATGACTCTCCACAATCTAACTTTTGACCATGAAACAATTTTTCAAACGCTGATGTTTTTCATGCTTGACTCACCATCGACGTCTTGATTCGCCTGATTTTATCGGGCACCCATAAATGGTATCCCCTGGCGAAGCATCTGATTTTCGCTCTGATTGCCATAACTTCAAGGGGCACCACCCCACCCCCACCCATCAGCCCAAAAAAACTGGCCCAGCATCATCGGCACTTCCCCATGGGCAGGTTGTACCGCAGGTGGTGTTCTGCGCATACTTCGCCATGGCGCAAGTCCAGCGATGGAACGAGTCGAGACTCGTCGACGGTGGCGTGTCGCGTTGTGTCGCGTCGCGTCTGAGCCAAGTTGGAGATATGGAGCAAACAACCATGGACTTATGCTATGATATGATTGGGATATGATTAGGGATGTAGTAGAGCAAACTTAATATATATATATATATAATAATATAATATATATGTATATAATATATATATATATAATATATGTATAATATATATAATATATATATATATACATATATAATTATGTGTGTATATAATTATGTGTATATATAATTATGTGTATATATACATACAATATAATTGATGGATATTAACAGTGCATTCTATGGGCAATAACATGATGGAGGATATAATTGGGGATATCATTAATGAAGATATGATTACTTGGGAATATACACAACCATCTGTCTTTAATGGGGATATGATTGAGGATGTAATTGGGGATATACTGGGCGTTGTTTTTTTCTTGGGGACAATCATTGAGATGGACATCTTTGACTTTGTGGGATGGGACATATACCACATATACCTGGTTGGTGGTTTCAACCCCTCTGAAAAATATTAGTCAGTTGGTATATGGAAAAATAAAAGCCATGTTCCAAACCAACCAGATACTATACCCAATGAAAGCCCATGAGAGTCCTCGAAGCCCGGATCGCTATTCATGATCAGACTTTAGGTTCTTCTTTTTTTCCTGGGCCTGGGCAAACCTTTGTGGCTAGAGAGCAAAAAATGTTCCAACTATTTCATGCACGGATGATTTGGCTGATCCCAAAAAAACATCCACCAAATAAGCAAGTCGAAGAATGTCACAACCTTTCTTTCGCCCTTGAATTGTCCCAGGCTTCCAGCCCCACCAGACCTCCGAAGTGCAGAGCCATCCCATGCAGCGGCTGGGATGGGCTGAATAGCCATGAAGGGACTGCAAGAAATCAGTACATCCAATCCCAGAATCTATAGGGGGCATGTAGTTGGGTAGGACGGGATTGGAACGATCAAACAAATCTTCAGATCTTAAGTATCTATCAATTCCACGTGATCATCCGCCGCCTCTCACGATCCTTTCCTGCAAGTCATGGAAGCTTGAAAACCACAAGGAGATAGTGACTGGACTACTTAAGAACTGGTGCAGCTGGTTGTATACCAATCCTACCATGAGCAAGTTTCATACTTGGATGCTAACGACATCTAACCACTGAATGTAGCTATTCCAAATAATCATCCAGGTACAAATAATTATCTGGCTGAATAATCTGAATAGAAAACTAGCCACAAAAGGGGATGATTCCCCGAGTCCAATTCCCATCATTCCGGTGACGTCTCAGGCGACTTTGACCGCCATCGTCCAGATTTACCATCTGGTTATGACTAACATAGCCATGGATAATCCCTTACAAATGGAGGTTTTTATGGGAAAATCATCTATAAATGGGCCATCTATACCATGGCTATGTTAAATCACCAGAGGGTATGTTGAGTAACACTTCTATTACTGTAAAGTATCTCATTCCTGGCCCAGCGTGCGTTTATCAATTTCTGCATGGTTTCCAGCTATATTGATGGCAAGGAAAAGCGTTATCCAATCTGACCCATACCGAATACATATTTAGCATAGCGAAAACCATCTACAACCAGAGAATTTGCCAGCACCCCACATGAGATTTCAACAAAGTACGCGTTGTCACGAAATATTATAGGGGCCCCACGGATACTAAAGAAAAACCAAAAACAAAACTTAAGTGTTTCCAGGATGTTCATATCGAGTTAGGATTTTCATGATGCCCCCAGTAAGGTTGATTGTGTACCCAGCATTTTTAGATGATGGTTCCAACTTGTCTATCTATTTGGGTCTTGCCATTTTGCCATAGGCTGTCTGATCTTGGTCCCATATGGCATGCGGGTAAAAAGGGTCGTTCTGTGTGGATCGTCCCAGTTGCACTTCGGTCATCAAACATGGCAATGGAAAAACCATGAAAATCCCGAGGCTGCTGGGAAAATCATCGAACTAAATCATTTCAATGAAGGATGTTCCAGCCACGTTTGATGACCGGAGGCTAGGAACTGATTAGCAAGTAGGGAATTTTAACCCAGTTGCACACGGGATCCACATGATCCTCGAAGCGAACGCAAAAGAAGTGGGGGAAAAGTGTCATGATTGATATCAGCGGTTTATGGTCCATGGTCATCACACGCTAATCTTCGGCACCTCTATCGGATTTACGTCATAGTTGAAGTTGAAGTGAGATTCTTCTTACGAATGATCTATGGCGAGCATGATGAAACATGGCCACTGAAGAAAACCATCATGCCCTAACAAGTCACTTCTGAATTGTCCAGGTATGAACTCTGCGAGAGGGCGCAAACCACAAACCACCTGTAAATAATCAACAAGGAAACCATTGGTTTTACCATGAAAAAAAGGAGGTTGTGCAGATGTTCGAACAAAAAACAATTCTGGGGCATTCCAATGCATTCAAGCTGTGTTCAAAACAAATCTGTCATTCCATTGATGAAAATCCTGGGTAACATAAATTTGACGGATCGATCATCTCTACAAGGAACCAACAGAGGTGTCCTGGGCCCAGCAACTGCTGGCTTTCTCTCCATTTTCACCACAATTTCGCTGGTTTCGGAGTCCCCAGTGGTCTGCTGACTCCCCAAACGTCCGGAGTTGAAGGAATGTACCAATCAGCTTGTCGAAAGAAAACTGGTTCACACGTGCAGTTGAACCTAATTGAACTATAGAAGAAGCCAGATGTTTAAACCCCTGATAAATCTCAATATCTATCAAGGATTAGACTATTATACATTTTTTGAAAACTGCATTTGCCAGCATCATCAGTGAAGTGACACTCTTGTGGGGACCGCCTTTTCTTGGTCCATTCCAGCCTGCCCCAAGGCGAAAATCCGAAAATCCTCAAAGGTGTCCCAGCGAGACCCGTGGCAGCCCCATGGCCATTCATGGTTTACGATGGAACCTACAGCAATCCCCAAGTAGAAAAGTGTGAAACCTGGAAATGATGGAACATGATCCTGAGATTATCTACAAATCCTGAGATAAAAATGAGATTTCTAGCTTTTTGGGGACCCCCATCGGGACAAAGGGATCAAGCACACGTGTTGCATTCTGGGACTTCATATCAGTTTCAATCTATTGCTTGTGAGTGTTCTGCGCGGAAAAGAGACACGCTTAGAGAACTCAACTCTTGATATGGGGTATTCTTCAAATGGGGGATCCCCAAAACCATAGGTTCCAATACTAAAGGTCTAATTTTGGATGATGTGGGGTATCCATATTTTAGGAACCTCCATACATAGATTGGCAACAAGTATAGGTAGCCAGATGTCATTTTGCAGACTGCAGGGCCAATGATCTAAGTAACAAAGGGATGTGCATCCCCAAACATGACAAGACAAAAGCAACACTGATTGGTGTGTTCAACCCATCTCCAAAAAAGATAAGTCAGTTGCAATCACCGCAATCACCATCTCAATAATTAGTTGTGAATAGTTGTGAATGTGCATATATATATATATATAGCAACACCCATAAAATCCCAATGTGTAGCCACAAATGGTACAAGCTTGTGCCACCCCAGTTATAAGCTTATATACCCCATTAAGATCCATTAAGTATAAATATATCATAATATATCTACCATATACCATAGTCAAACTGTGGGCAGATATTCAGGGAAAGACTCGGAGAGACACTCTCAATCTAGCACTGCGCTCATCACAACTGCGCGGGGACATGACATCGCCTGCAAGGGGCGAAAGCAATGTAAATCAAGGTAATATTAAAGTAAAAAGTAGTTCATTTACCAAGTAAAGGCTGGGTCAAATATGAGTAAAGGCTGGGCAAGTTGGTTCTACTATTTGAAATATGTTGCCCCAAGGAAAGAGGCAAATGATATCTGCTTGGTGGTGCAATCACCATCTTGAAAAATATGAGTTCGTCAATGGGGTTGGGATTATCCCATATATGAAATGGAAAATAAAAGCCATGTTTGCAACCACCAACCAGATATAGTAAATCATGGCAAATCAACCGTCTTCCCCTGGTGGCTGGTAATCTATCGGCAGGACGATCCCTTCGAAAAAGAAATCGAGGTTTAATGATCCAAGAAAATCATAGCCTAACCCACAAGAGTTTGGAAGGCTACTCTCAGGTACCCCAGGTACCCTCCGGTAATGACTAACAGTTTGCTAAATTTAACATGCGCCATGGCTAGTCCGTTGATTTACCTCAAACTAGTGATGTTCTATCGTTTTTTGTATGTTTACCAGAGGCTTTTTATTCAAAAATGCCGGAAATTTTCCGCAAGATTTTGATGGGATTGTCCCTGTTGGTAGAGGACTTTTCCCCAGTTCGGAATCGCTAAGTTGGTACACATAACTAGAATAACAATAGTGTATGATACTTATTTATAATTATAATCATAACATTTCATAACCAACTTATAGCTGGGGGGCACCATCCTGAGCACGAATGAATCCAAGATCCACGGTGCTGTTTGGATGTTTGGAGATGTTTGGTACAAAACAACGAGCTTCGAGGAGTTTTTGTGCAAGAAAATCTATGAGCAAAATCGAAGGTACATGCATGATTCAGAAATTACGAAGTACTCTATGCCCCTGTCTCAAATCTACACAAAACACAAGTTTATCATTTTATGCATCATATGAATCATATGTCATATACCCATGATCTTGGGTAAATAGGCCATGGCTAAGTCATCCCTGAACTGTAAATGGGGAGTAGTTCAGTCGCTACGACAGTAGCCGCTATATTGAATTGCTCAGTAAGCTACAGACCGTAATCACTTCGACTTAGTCTGGTTGGTGGTATACCTACCCCTCTGAAAAATGATGGAGAGAAAGTCAGTTGGGATGATGACATTCCCAATATATGGGAAAATATATGGGAAAATAAAATTCATGTTCCAAAGCACCAACCAGTAGCAATTTCCTATAATTTACTAACCAACCAACCGTTGGCGACATCAAAACCATGGGACAAGCCCCCTTTTTGGAGACCTAGGGATCCGATCCGCTCGGCGCACCTAGGGATCTGCGATGACCACATAGCCCGGCGGTTGGAGATCCACCAAACGTTTCTTTGGGCCCTGGCCATGGAGATGAGACTAAACATCGACATAGACTAAGGATGGTATATCACCAACTTTAGCAAAAAAAAATGGTGATTTTATTGGAGGATTGTTTGTGGTGATAATGGTATAACTAAAAACTATTAGTTGGTGATAGACCTAGAATGAATTGGGATGCTACACCATGAGCCCATCACACCCAAAAAAATCTGGCCATTCGGAGATACCCCAGGCATCTTACTGATCCCATTTTTTTCAAAACGAATCACCAAGGTCAACCACCGGGGTTGGCGCCACCAGGTTATCCAACTGCTCCACCAATCCCACAGCTTGGGATCCATGGCTTGAATTTAAGCCACGGCTGTGGAATTTTGTTAGATAATGTTAATTGATATTCAACTATAATGTAAATTTCCAGAAGCTGTGGTGTCACAAAATGATTGTATAATATTGCATAATCATATCTCATGATCTTACCACTTGCTATCCCATCATCAACCTGCGCTGCCGCTCCGCGGTTTTCGCTTCTGAGTCTCACTGGCGCAGCCAATGCTCCGACCCGCGATAATCCCATGATTTCTCCGATCCTCCAGAACCAGATGACACCATCTGGGCAAGGGCAACGCAACCATCGCCATTGGGCACAACGGAAAATAACATCCAAATGATTCTGGGTCAAGTTTATGACAGATGTTAGTCCATTTTTTGACTACCCATCTAATTTTGAGGGTCCAACCCATACCCAAAGCTGAAGCTTCTGCTAAATCTACAATGGCAACACAGCACCGAGCAGCCCGTATTTGATGTTTGAGTCGCCTGGTTGGCAGGTCCAACCAATGGATTTGGGGACAGCCTCGCAGCCTCCAGACCGTTTGGCACCGTGCTGGATGAAACACTGAGAAGATTTGGCATCTCTGGGCTCAAAATATGGAACACCCGCCATTTGTAGATCTTCCGAACAACCATGAACTCCCATAAACATAATATGTGTATACTCATAAATTGCCTTGTCCCAAAATTATGTTCTCACAACGTTACTTACTCATGTCATTGATAATGGTTGTTATGTTCTTATAACATCTTATAACGTTATTTACATTGATGCATGTGTGAGCTCTTAAACATTTTAAACTTCCAAACCCCCAGCAACAAACTCATTGTATAGAAATCCAGACTTCCGTAATTAAACATGGCTATTAGCTGGGAAATCCTCTTTAATTGTGGTGGTTTCTAGCTGGAAAAAACATCGGTGATTTTCCAGCCAAAATCACCAAAATTAGACCATTTGAGTATAAAAAAGCCCGTAGTTTGGGGATCTCCCATTCAAGAAACCTCCATTTGGGGATTCTCAACTTGGTGGAGAAACAGCCGCTTCCAAACGATCAATGAGGAACGTCGCTGGCACTGCACAACCCTTGGCCACGCGTATTCCACGCGTCGCGTCAGGGCAAGGCGTTGCCCAGAGGCGTATTTTGACAATACTTGGATGCTGTCTGAGGAAGTTAGGATAGGTTACGACCTCTGCAATCCCAGTTTCAAGAGGTTGTAACCCACTTGCTGATCATATGTACATGTTTTTCCCTTTTTTTGGACAACATCCAAGTAGTGCATATAAATTCAAACAATTGCTATTCGATCGTGCCTTCACTGCATGTTTTCCGTGCATACGCCGTGCTTCGCGGTCCATGTTTTCCGGAAACGCCACATTGGACCATCAGAGTTGCAGGTGGCCAATACTTTTTCACTTCCCGAAAATTTAAAATACCACTCACACGGACCCTGGAATGTGTTAGATTTGTGTGGATTTATTCACTGTGGAGTCAACTTTGGAATCAACTTTCCCTTTTTTCAGGGAGTTTATGGTGAGAGAGATGGGAGTGCTGAATTTATGCTGCATCGTTTGACGATTTCTGACTTCCCAAATTGCAGAGGTCTGGAAAGTGGATAATGATCCCACACAGCTCTTTCATAGATTATATCAGTGAACATATATAATTTTTGTGACTAATGTGTACTGTTTACTAATTAAGGTTTGGTAATTACCGGTGTCGATTGAGTATGTCAAAAAGATATGTATGAGCAAATGACATGAGGCACCAGACCTCCCGAAAAGACTTATGAGGTGTGATTGTATGTCCAGGGATACAAGTATGTACGCATATATATATATATGACATTATATGACAACCCCCAAAAAAAGGATAGACAAGTAAAATCCCTATCAAATGGTAATAAATTTTCGTTCGATCTTTTTTGGGATAATATATATATATACATATCAACCCCAAAATAGATTGAAAACTTGAACGCCCAGAAATATTTTAGATTAATATCATCTATATTGTGTATATATATATATCCTGCAAAACACGTTTTATAAATAAAAAATCGGGGTTACTATGTTATATATATATATATTTATGATGTATTAAGATAACATGTATTAAGCTCCAATGATCTGACAGATGTGGCTTGTTTCATCGCTATAGCTGTGAAAACCTCCGTTCGAACACAATCCAATGATCTATATGGGATGAATAAGCATCTTTATGGGTACATAACATAACTATATATGATAAATTTTGATAACATGTATTACTCTCCAATGATCCTCTCAGTTTCTCTCTGATCAGAGCTCATCATTGCACCGGCGCCGTTTCTTCGACGTGCCCTCGTCCGACTCTGACTGTTCAGCGCCCGAGGCAGCAAGGCGCTTCCGGGCCTTTCCTGGGTGAGGTGGGGGTCCAAGGGGGCTGCAGGCTCGGTCCTAGACCAATTAGGGCTATGGCTAAACTCCTGGTTGATTAGCTAGCAAATTGGGTTTTACCATTATTCATAACTAAGGTTTAAGGGTTTCAACCATGGCAAGCATATCTAAACCCTGCTTGGTCGTTTTTTGATCCCTTGCCAAGTTTCAGTCTTGGTGAGATAAAGAGTGTTTCTCCATCGAATCCAATGTATGGCTACAATCCACGCAGAAAACCCAACCCAAAACTGTGATTTGGATGCCATTTTGTGGCCCGCGTCAGCCAATCTCGAAGACCATCACATATTGGGTATTGGGTACGGTATGCCTCAAAGTTGTTTATCAACAACATGTTTATCAATTTATCAACGCTTGCTATCAAAACGATAAAATTGATAGTAATTGCAATTGCAAATATGTTTTATTGCTTGCAACATATTGCTATGAACACATATTTGTTCTATTGCTTGCGGTTAAAACTGCACTTCGCACGTCCCGCGTGTTAAAACACAGTCACTCAAATCATGCATTTTTGGCTCATCAGTCCCTGTTATGTATGCATAAAATTGCAGGTTGAATCCCAATTTTGCTTGGCAAATTCCTCACTTCTGGGGATACCAAATTATACGATTAAGGTTAAATTTCCAATGCATTGCCAATTGAATCTCCATTAAAAAAATGGACAAACACACTAGATATTTGGATCCCAGTGGCTTCCAGGAGGTCTGACTACAGGAGTTAGCCGACCTTCTCAGGTTGTTTGGTAGGATCCATTACAAGCCACAAAAAAAAAGTATCCCAAGATCGTCAGCTTCTCGGATTCTCCCAATTTGATATGCTCCCACTGGATATCTCTTATTCAAGATGGAGGTTTCCGAAAATGTGGGGGGTACCCTAAATCATCTTGAATCATCCAGCCACTTTGGATGTCGCAGCCATATGGAAACCTCCATAGAATAGAATCCAACTTCACTTGATCAAGAGTATGTGATCAGTAGCGAATCCTTGGGGGGTCCATAATCATCAAACTTGGAAAAAACAGTTTCTAACCGGTTTCTCCACATATTTCTTGGGGGGTACATCATCATCATCATCCAACTATAACATAAAACCGGTTTCTCCAAAACGGTTTTACCAAGACTCTCTGCGCCTTCTTCACTGGTTCCATGGACAGGTCCCGCGGGTTCGCGTCCTCGTGAACCAGCAAAAAACGGCTGCAAGTTGGTGGCTTAACCCATCTAACCCCATTTTTTAGAAGAAACATCATGAAGCAACCACTAGTTATTGGGATATCTCCATTGATTAATGGTTAATAATGGTTAACAATGGTTAAGAATGGCTAACAATGTAAAAATCCTAAGCCAACTCAAACTGCTGTCCTTCAACTACTTTCACCCAGTTTTTCATCGCAACTTCCCTAAATTCATTACCTCCACGTGCAGCGATCCCAAAAAAGAACACGGCTCCAGCAACCGAGCGGCTTTCTTCGCCTGTTCCAGCTCCGGATCTGTCACTCCCAGCAGCTCAAGAATGGGGGGCAGGAAGCGGCGCCAGGTACCTGCAGTGCGCCCAAGGGGAACTGATGCGGCCGGGGCTCAAATTTATACAACAAACAAAGGGATATAATATATATATATATAATATAATATAATGTTGCATCGACAATAGTAAAGTGGGGTCCCCCCTAATTTGTGTTTTCTTTTTTTAGGGGGTCTGCTTTGCAATAGTATATCGAAAATCCCAACTCTTCCCCAAGGCTTCTGTAAGGTTTCGACAAATCCTCTCTTTTCTTATACCTAGGCTCTGATGGGATCTTCATTGGATTCTGATTGAGAACCTCTGTTTTCTGATAGGCTTTGATTGGATCTTCATTGGATTCTGATTGAGAACCTCTGTTTTCTGATAGGTTTTGATGGGATTCTCATTGACTGAACAAGGTAAAGTTTTGGATTTGGTAAAGGCTTGCTTTGTTTCTGCTTTTGAAAAGCATGCAATCACAATTAAAAACCATTCAACCACAATTAAAAACACTAAGGAAGAAGGGAAAAATATATAGCTAGAGCCAGACAGGTTGTTTATTATTGCAAGTGCTAATTCCAATTTTTAATTGCAAATGCAAGGACCTGAAAGGGGGTACCCTTTGTGGACATGTTTTTTGCAATTTTTTAAAAGGATTTTTAATAAAGAGAACAGTTTTTTGAACAAGGTAAAGTTTTGGATTTGGTAAAGGTTTGCTTTGTTTCTGCTTTTGAAAAGCATGCAATCACAATTAAAAACCATTCAACCACAATTAAAAACACTAAGGAAGAAGGGAAAAAATATAGCTAGAGCCAGAAAGGTTGTTTATTATTGCAAGTGCTAATTCCAATTTTTAATTGCAAATGCAAGGACCTGAAAGGGGGTACCCTTTGTGGACATGTTTTTTGCATTTTTCAAAAGGATTTTAATAAAGAAACCAGTTTTTTGAACAAGGTAAAGTTTTGGATTTGGTAAAGGTTTGCTTTGTTTTTGTTTTTGCTTCTGGGACACATTCCATGCTGACACCTCTGGGGTCTAAAAGAAACAGTGCATCTGCTCATGGCAGGTCATTAATTACTGGTTCTGAGTTTTTTTCCTGCATCCATACTAAATCTCAATTAGCCCTTCTACAATTTAGTGTTGGAAAATCTGATAATTTGGGAATTTTCTGAAAATTATTTGTAGCTATTGCGAATGCTGCACAACTATTGCAGATGCTCTGGACCAAGATTGATGTCTGTAATTTGAAATCAATAAGGCCTAATTTAAAATCAATAGGGGCTGAAAAATCAGATTCTGAAAATTATTTGTAGCTATTGCACGCGCTTTACTATTGTCCATCCAACATTAATATAGATATAATATATATATATATAACATATATATATATATATATTGGTGAACCCTGAAGCAGGTTCCAACTGAAACTTCACTTCCCGCAGCCATGGCGTCAAGGTTACAGCACATTCGAATGTCTGAAAATTGGGTCTTCCCCTCAAATGTCAATTTGGATTTTGGAAAAATCCATCGACAATCCATGGGAATTGGGGGATGCCCAAGACAAACCCACATCATAACTCGCCATCGAATTTGGCGAATGCCTACACTTCCCGCAAAATCACCCACTTTGGCAAACATCCATGTGAACCGTCAAAGCACATAGCATAGATGTGGAAAAAACAATCGATGGTAAATCATGGTCGTTCCTCAGATTTGTTGAAAATCACTCAATGATGTCCCACATATACCCACTCTATAACCATTTCTATCCCCATATCTTGTTACCATCACCGCCATAGGCCATACATTGGCCATAGCTTTCCAGCCCAATCGCCCGAAGTCTTGGCTTCGAAGTTCTCCTTGTCCTCCGATGCGTCCAGCAAGGTGAGGATGTGGAGATGCAGCTCTTCCTGGGTGCCACATTCGATAGCTAAGTTGCAATGTGAGGCCCCCGTTCGATAGCTAAGTTGGTGCAAATAACTCCAATAACTACAGTATGGTTTATGGTACTTGTAACTATAGTTACTGGATGTTAATGGGGTTTTTGTTAACCAACAAACATCACTGGGGGCCTTTGCTAAGTTGGTGCCAGTGGTGGTGAACTACCCACGGATCGTTTTGTGGTAAAGGTTCACCACAGTTTTTTTCGTGGACTAAGCCTACTCCCATAGAAACAACCAGGGTGAACTAACCCACTTATTAAGTGGGATGAGCCACCAAGTAACTCCAATTTCACTATGGTGTATGGTAGATATCTCTATACTATTCCTATGGTTATGAACTAACAAACATCACTGGGGCACCACCTTGCATCTGGGTAAATTACAATAATTTGGCCATTTGGGGATGATAATCTATAACCATGGTGTGTACATATATTTATATATATGTATATACATACATAGCTGGGTAGATCTGGGGATGATTCCCCCTACTAACCATTGTTACAGTGAGGTCGCAGTGAGGTCGATATGATTTATCCAGAACCATGGGATAGATGGAAAAAAGTGAAAAGTCATCTGTAAACTAATTATGAATCATACATGGTTATGACTTGGGATAGTATATTATATATAATTGTGTTTATTGGTTAAGAACCACCTTTCACTATAGACTATTAAAGAATACTGCGGACATATCTATCATAGACCACAGTTAACCTAGTCACAAATCATGTTTTGTTAAGCAAAATTCCATTGTTAAGTTAGATCAAACGGCAGGGCAAATTGGGATGGGGCCACGGGCGCGTGTTTGGGTCATGTCCATTGCGTGTTTGCAGAAAACCCGAATGTTTGATTGTTTTGGAGGTGACAGAACCCAGAGAAAACAGAGATACAGAAAGAATTAATATGAATTAATGAATTAAACACTAATTTGAATAGTCAATAATAATTGTAAGAATCCAGAGATTATTCCGTGTTAATCAAGATACTAGAAAAAATGTCTGAATTAATGAATAACTATACTCGTAATTAGTAGTGACTCATAATCATGTATGGAAAAACAAGGGTATGGAAAAACAAGGTCACGTCGTCCATTGCGGTCCCGCTGTTTTTGTTTGTTTTGAAAACAAGCATCTTGCTATTTCGATAACCCTTATGGCACTTTCTGTCACCATGGATTTTGTGCCATGTTCAAATGCCTTGCGTTTTACAGCACTTTGTGTCCATTTTGTGCTATTTCCAATGGGTTTTACAAGTCCATGTGCAAATCAGCGAAAAAAAAAACGCTTGGAAGCCAGCAATATGTTAGGATCGTGTTGCATACATGGTAGACCAGACATAGACACATACCTTGCATACTTGGACATGTACACTGATTCTTATATACATATATGCAAGTATATATACGTATATTTATATATCCATATATATATATATATGTGTGTGTAACCTGACACAGACAGACATGCACACACACATATATATATATATATACATATTCATCCCAACCCCACCCCACCCCAATCCCAACGGGCAGCGTAACATCATCAGCGTACCATGAACGTTAAAATCCCACCCCACCCCAACCCCAACGGGCAGCGTAACATCATCAGCGTACCATGAACGTTAACATCCCACCCCAACCCATGTTTGTTAAAAACTAGCAAATTCCCCGGGGCCGTATTGGACGACGTCAGCAAAAACAAGAATCGTAAGAATCCAAAATAAAATAAATGCTTCGGGACACTCCAGGACAGCCAACCTGGGGTTGATTTGGGGTTGATGTTGGTCACTTGATGACCTGTTGGGACCAGAAAATGTGGACATACCATCTGGTTATGACTAACATAGCCATGGAAAATCACCATTTTTAATAGGTAAACCACCTATAAATGGGCCATTTCCCATGGCTATGTTAAATAAACAGAGGGTAAATCTCATTCTGGTGGATGATATTGTACTGGTTGGTGGTTTCATCCCCCCTGAAAAATATTATATAATTAGTCAGATTGGATCATCATCCCAACATATCCCAACTATTGGGGCAAATAAAAGCCATGTTCCAAACCACCAAGCAGTGCAAAAAATCATGTGTCATAATCCCCTTCCCCATGATCCTCTAGGAATTCAACAATCTGGAAACTGGCCCATATTTGGCCCATGATTTCATGATTTACCAAAGTGAATAATGTTGATGGGAACCACTGCAACATGTCAAATTACCAGTATATCATCCAGACTCCAGGGGAATGGGAAGGGATCTTCAGCAAAAGCTGGGTGAAATCCCTTCCTTCCATGCAGCGTAGCGTTCACACCAAAACACCAACTGCGGCAGAGATTCCGGCAGCTTTTTCACCTGATCACAGCTTCAGATCTCTTTTGACTTCCAATCAATGGAGGTAAAATTACCGTAGGTCCCCTAATTAGATAAACCATGATAATTATACCATTATACATATTCATACATAATCATACATAATCATATCAATATACCAGTGTAATATAGATACCATTATACCAGTATAATATAGTAGGTAATATATATATTTATTATACAGAATCAGGTATAGTATAATATTGGTTGTACCAGATATAACTATAATGGTAGGCATCATATCTGCCATAAATTCTGCCAGCCGAGTCATGTCCCAGGCATCCAAGGCATCCAAGGCATCCAAGGCATCCAAGGCACGGCGCTGCGTAGGGCAGCCATGGCCTTCCGAAAGTTGGCCGTGCCACCACCACCTTTCTGATTGGAATTGACCTTGGTCAACGCCAGCTGCGAGCCAAAAAACTCCTGTTGGTTGATGATTTGTTGGTTCGCTGAGAGATCTTAACCTGGGTTTTAACGTGTTTTAAGCATCAAATGATGGGGATATCAGTGGATATAACTTATAAATACTTATCGAAGGAAGTTTAGAAGTGAAACTTCCGACAATATGGACAGTTGAAAAGCAGAGGTGAGAAGAGTCAGAAGAGAAAAGATCAGAAGAAAGAAGATGCAGGTGCGCGAAAAGGTAGGAAAGTCGCGAAACACTGTGTTTTTTCGTGGTTTTGTGGCTCCGGAAGGTTGAAAAGTAGGCTCGCTAAAGCGGCGGGTGCGGAGACATCTGGGGAGATGAGAAATGAAAAGTTGCACGCCGTTGTGGCGCGAAGCACATTTCCAAGTCAAAATGTGTTAAAAACTGAGGGGTTCGGACCACTTTTGGAAGTTGAGATGTTGAAAAAGTGCACGCCGTTGTGGCGCGAAGCACATTTCCAAGTCAAAATGGACAAAACACCAGGGGTTCAGACCACTTTTGGAAGTTGAGATGTCGAAAAAGTGCACGCCGTTGTGGCGCGAAGCACATTTCGAAGTCAAAATGTACAAAACACCTCAGTGTCGGACCACTTTTGGAAGTTGCGATGTCGAAAAAGTGCACGCCGTTGTGGCGCGAAGCACATTTCCAAGTCAAAATGTACAAAACACCTCAGGTCTCGGACCACTTTTGGAAGTTGAGATGTCGAAAAAGTGCACGCCGTTGTGGCGCGAAGCACATTTCGAAGTCAAAAGGTAAAAACACAACATTCTCGGACCACTTTTGGAAGTTGAGATGTCGAAAAAGTGCACGCCGTTGTGGCGCGAAGCACATTTCCAAGTCAAAATGTACAAAACACACCAGTGTCGGACCACTTTTGGAAGTTGAGATGTCGAAAAAGTGCACGCCGTTGTGGCGCGAAGCACATTTCGAAGTCAAAAGTGTTAAAAACTGGCGGTCTCGGACCACTTTTGGAGGTTCAGAGGTCGAAAAAGTGTCGAAAAAGTGCACGCCGTTGTGGCGCGAAGCACATTTCGAAGTCAAAAGTGTAAAAAAAATGAGGGTTTTGAGCCTTTTTTGACGTGAAGATGTCGAAAAAGTAGACACTGATTAACTTAACTAACTTGACTAACTTAACTAACTTCACTAACTTAACTACCCTAACTTCGACGACAACAGCAACAGCAACAACAACAACAACAACAACAACACCAACACCAACACCAACCACAACAACTACAACAACTACAACTACAATAACTACACAACAACTACAACTACAATAACTACACAACAACTACAACTAGAACTAGAACTACAACTACAACAACTACAACAACTACAACAACAGCAACAACAACAACAACAGCAGCAACAACAACTACAACTACAACAACTACAACTACAACTACAAAACAACTACAGCTACAACTATATGACTGCAACTACACTACACTAATTACATTACACCACAACTACAACTCCACTACGCTACAACTACAACTACAGTTGCAGTACATCACACTACATCCAGCAGTTGTGGGTGAGGTGACCACTGCAACCATTGCAACCACTCCAGCAAACACAACTCCAACCACCTTTCGGTCAATCAGTGGATTCGCTCTGCCATCCGTGATTCACAACAACCAACGTCTCCTATAGGTTTCCTATTCTGAAACTTCCGCCACCGCCTTGTGCGGTACTACTGGTAACTGATAAATGGTGCTTGGTTGGTGATTAGATTACTCCGGGCTTGGGGAATGTCACAATTTATGACCGCGGAATCAGCTTCTCAACCAACCAGTATACAGGCTTTTGAACATGGCTTCACTGTTGGTAAAAGCTGGGGACGCCCCCCACCTTTTAACGGGGCATATGGATTCAACCACCAAACATCGAGAAAACATTATGAAAAAACTCTTCAACGGGGATCCGATGATCAAATATGATACTCAAATGGATCGGATGAAGCAACTGAACTGAATACCGTGGTTTTCAGCATCAAATATAGGGGTTTCCATGGTTTATGTTCCCTGCATCCAATTCTGGAACTCAGGCACTCAAGCTGAGAACTCGATTCTCGCGCTGGATGAGAAAAAAACCTTATGAAAAACATGTTCACCAGCTGAAGTGTGGGCCAAGCCAGCTATGTTTTGGTGGTTTACAACCCCCATTCACAAGAGTTTTTTTTATATGTTTTATACCTAATATCTTATAATTACCATAAACCTAGTTATCCGTAGACAATTAATGACATAATGTATTAGTTACAAAGCCACTTGGCTATCATTTGGGGGGATCACCTGTCTCCTTTTTGGTGATTGGGAACGCGGCCGGCAGATCAGTGGAGTCTTTGGTGGCCCTAAAAGCTACAGAAAGTACTTCTCGGTGCATATCAGTTGATATGTGGTGATAATAAACCATGGTTCTACAGTTTCCCCATTTTCTAATGTTACAGCGTAACGAGTCAAGGCTGGAAAAAAAAAATCCCGGCTACATCAACACAATTATGAATGACCTTCAAAAACATCATCCTGGGGAACACTGACATCCTGCAGAACCTGCCACAGCCAAGATGCCTTCAGCAAGGCATAGGTCTTCTTCACTGTTTTTTTCATGCTGTCCGCAGGATCCGCAAGACCTGGGTCGTGGTTGGATACCCTACGAGGTGCAGCCACTTCGAAGTTGGCTAAAAAGAAAACATTCACTATACCATTAACTATACCATCAACATCCATAGAACCCTAGTTATGTTAGATATAAATCCAACTAAATTCAATAAAATCCATAGAAACTATGCCATAAACATCCATAAACATCCATAAACAGCCATAAACAGCCATAAACATCCATAAACATTCATAAATCCATAGAAACCCTAGTTACTAGTTATTATGTTAGAACATGTTAGAACCAACGTACCTAACTTTTTGTGGGGGCACCAGTTACCCGTGTTGTCGTCGTATCCTGCTCCAAGGCGCTGTTTTGACAGCGTGGCGCTTCTTTCCGTGGACGCCCGCGCTTTCTGGGCGGTCCCGTTTTGGCCTGTGGAAAGGGCAGCTGGCCTGGAGTGCCCTTTCCAATGGCACAGTTAAAGCGCTTGAAACCGCTGATTTGTATGGTTATACCTTCTGGTTATGACTAACATAGCCATGGAAAATCACCATGTTCAATAGGTAAACCATCTATAAATGGGCCATTTTCCATGGCTATGTTAGAGGGTAAATGCGATTATCATTCCATAAATGGGCTGACTTACTGACGTGTAACTGGTGTTTCGGGCCATAACTGCACGAACTTTTGCCGGAAACTTTTCTTTTCGTTCAACACGCGTACAATAGATTATTTAAAAAAAAATCCAGGTTATTTTTTATGAAATGGAATATCAAACATGATCAAGCATTTCTTCATTGTCTCAATAAACAGTTTCATGGATGTGCCCCCAAATGATATGTAAATTGGCTTATAACTAGTATAACAAGTTTTTATGATTATTATAGCTAGGGTTAAGGGCAACATGTTACGCACCAACAAACATAACTGGGGGAGCCATCTTGTAGATCTTAGAAGGGTTTGGGGTGCATGAGCCCAACTAGGTATGTATACATTACATATTTGATATGGTTTCCCCAGTTTTAAGATGTTATAGCGCAACGGGTCATGGCTGGAAAAAAAATGCATCAACACAGTTGGTGATGAATGACCTTCAAAAAACAGTCATATGGCAACGACATCCTGGGGAACACTGACATCCTGCAGAACCTGCCACAGCCAAGATGCCTTCAGCAAGGCATAGGTCTTCTTCACTGTTTTTTTCATGCTGTCCGCAGGATCCGCAGAACCTGGGTCGTGGTTGGATACCCTACGAGGTGCAGCCACTTCGAAGTTGGCTAAAAAGACTAGACGACGGATGGCCCGAGAGCGTAGAGGAGCAGGGTCTTCTGTTGTTAGTATTGAGACACTATATTACAAGACAGTATATTAAAGATCTACTATAGGCAGACGAGAAGAGTAGTATCAAGACAATATTTTACAAGTACAAGACAATAGTTTGCATCGTATCCTTCGTATAGTTTTTCACACACAGAACCTTTTACACAAAGACGCTTTTGCACACAGAAGCTTTCACACACAGACACTTTTACACACAGACGTTTTTACACACAAAGACTTTTACACAGAGACGCTTTTACACACACAAACAAACACAAACGCTTTTAGACACAGAGACTTTTACACGCAGACGCTTTTACACAGAGACGCTTTTACACACAGACGCTTTTACACACAGACGCTTTTACACAGAAGCTTTTATACACAGAAGCTTTTACACACAGAGACGCTTTTACACACAGACACTTTTACACACACAGAGACGCTTTCACACAGAGACGCTTTTACACAGAGACGCTTTTACACACAGACACTTTTACACACAGACGCTTTTACACACAGACACTTTTACACACAGACGCTTTTACACACAAAGACTTTTACACAGAGACGCTTTTACACACACAAACAAACACAAACACTTTTAGACACAGAGATTTTTACACGCAGACGCTTTTACACACAGACGCTTTTACACACAGAAGCTTTTACACACAGACGCTTTTACACACAGAAGCTTTTACACACAGAAGCTTTTACACACAGAGACGCTTTTACAGACAGACACTTTTACACACAGAGATGCTTTCACACAGAGACGCTTTTACACAGAGACGCTTTTACACACAGACACTTTTACACACGGACAGTTTTGCACACAGACGCTTTTACACACAGACAGTTTTACACACAGAGACGCTTTCACACAGAGACGCCTTTACACAAAGACGCTTTTACACACAGACACTTTTACACACAGAAGCTTTTACACACAGAAGCTTTTACACACAAACGCTTTTACACACAGCAGCTTTTACACACAGAGACTTTTACACACAGAGATTTTTTCACACAGACGCTTTTACACAGAGACGCTTTTACACACAGAGACTTTTACACACAGAAGCCTTTGCACACAGAAGCTTTTACACGCAGAGACGCTTTTACACACAGACGCTTTTACACACAGACACTTTTACACGCAGACGCTTTTACACACAGACGCTTTTACACACAAACGCTTTTACACACAGACGCTTTTACACACAGAAGCTTTTACACACAGAAGCTTTTACACACAGAGACGCTTTTACACACAGACACTTTTACACACAGAGACGCTTTCACACAGAGACGCCTTTACACACAGACGCTTTTACACAGAGACACTTTGACACACAGACACTTTTACTCACAGACGCTTTTACACACAGACGCTTTTACACACAGAAGCTTTTACACACAGAACCTTTTACACACAGACGCTTTTACCCACAGACACTTTTACCCACAGAGACTTTTACACACAGAGGCTTTTACACACAGAGACGCTTTCACACAGAGACGCTTTTACACAGAGACGCTATTACACACAAACACTTCCACACACGGAGACTTTTACACACAGAAGCTTTTACACACAGACGCTTTTACAGAAGTTTTTACACACAGCAGCTTTTACACACAGAAGCTTTTACACACAAGAGCTTTTACACACATACGCTTTTACACGCAGACACTTTTACACATACGCTTGTGAAATCTTTTGCACACAGACGCTTTTACACACAGACGCTTTTACACACAATTTTCACACACAAAGACTTTTACACACAGAAGCTTTTACACACAGAAGCTTTTACACACAGATGCTTTTACACACAGACGCTTTTGCATGCTTTTGCACACAGAAGCTTTTACACACAGAAGCTTTTACACACAGATACTTTTACACACAGGCTCTTTTACACACAGACGCTTTGACACACAGAGGCTTTTACATACAGACGCTTTTACACACAGACACTTTTACACACAGACGCTTTTACACACAGACAGTTTTACACACAGACGCTTTTACACACAGACGCTTTTACGCACAGAAGCTTTTACGCACAGAAGCTTTTACACACAGACGCTTTTACGCACAGAAGCTTTTACACACAGACGCTTTTACACGCAGAAGCTTTTACAAACAGAAGCCTTTACACACAGACGCTTTTACACACAGACACTTTTACACACAGAGACTTTTACACACAGAAACTTTTACACACAGAGACGCTTTCACACAGAGACGCCTTTACACAGAGACGCTTTTACACACAGACACTTTTACACACAGACACTTTTACACACAGAAGCTTTTACACACAAACGCTTTTACACACAGCAGCTTTTACACACAGAGACTTTTACACAGAGAGACTTTTACACACAGACGCTTTTACACAAAGACGCTTTTAACTTTTACACACAGAGATTTTACACACAGAAGCCTTTACACACAGACGCTTTTACACACAGAGACGCTTTTACACACAGACACTTTTACACACAGACGCTTTTACACACAGAGACTTTTACACAGAGACGCTTTTACACACAAACGCTTTTAGACACAAACGCTTTTAGACACAGAGACGCTTTTACACAGAGACGCTTTTACACACAGACACTTTTACACACAGAAGCTTTTACACACAGACGCTTTTACACACAGAAGCTTTTACACGCAGAAGCTTTTATACATACTTCGCCGGACAACTTGGACATCGCAATTTTACCTCATTTTTTGGCGATTGAACCTCATTTCGTGCGAAAAGGTTGCGCCCGGACGCCTTGAACTAGCAATTTTACGTCAGTTTTTGGCGATCGAACTTCATTTCGTGCGAAAGGGTTGCATTTCGTGCCGTCTCGTTGGCACTGCCCCGCACCATCAAGAGAGAAATAGAAAAGAAGGAGAGAGCAAGAGGGCAAGAGGGCAAGAGAGAATGTGAAGGTGTGAAGATGAGAAGATGTGAAGATGTGAGGATGTGAAGATGTGAGGATGTGAAGATGTGAGGATGTGAAGATGAGCAGATGTGAAGATGAGAAGATGTGAAGATGAGCAGATGTGAAGATGAGAAGATGTGAAGATGTGCGGATGTGAAGATGAGAAGATGTGAAGATGAGAAGATGTGAGGATGAGAAGATGTGAAGATGAGAAGATGTGAAGATGAGAAGATGTTTTACAGACCCCCACTATTGGAAGAACCCTGTGCTCAGACGCTCTCGGGAAAAACATTCACTATACCAGTAACTATACCATCAACATCCATAGAACCCTAGTTAGGTTAGATATAAATCCAATTAAATTCAATTAAAACCATAGAAACTATACCATAAACATCCATAAACATCCATCAACAGCCATAAACATCCATAAACATCCATAAACATCCCCCAAAATAATCAAACATCCACAAATCCACATAAACCCTAGTTATGTTAGAACATGTTAGATCCAACTTGCCTAACTTTTTGTGGCGCCATAAGTTCCCACCGTTCCCTTTTTTTCGTATCTCCAAGGCGCCGCGACAGATTGCATCGTTCTGTGGACGCCGGCGCTGTCGTTCCGTTTTGGCCTTTTTTAAATGGCACGCTTATGGGCCCCAAATATCAGTTGTAAGATGTTATAAGTCAAATGAAGCCCCCGGTTTTAAGCATGTATAACACTGTATAACTGGTATTTGGGGCCATAACTGCACGATGTTTTTTTACGGAAGCTGTTCTTTTTCGTTCAAGACTCGTATAATTGATTGAAAATCCAGGTTCATAATGGTTTACATGTTTTTATTGAGTGGAATATCAAACAGGATCAAGCATTCCTTCATGTTATCTCAATAAATAGTTTCATGAATGGGCCCCCAAATGATATGTAAGTTGGCTTACAACTAGTATAACAATGTTTTAAGGTAATTAGAGCTATGGTTAATGGGGCTTGCAACATGTTGCAAACCAACAAACATAACTGGGGGGTGCCATCTTGTAGACCTTAGAAGGGTTTGGGGTTCATAAACCCAGCTAGGTCTGTATATAACTATTACATAATATAATAATATAATATGAGATCATATAGTATAATATAATATAATACAATATAATATAATATAATGTAGTATAATATATTTTAGTTATAATATTAGTAATATTATATTATCTATATACACACCATGAACCATGCAATCAGGGTTTACCGAAGCTATGTTCACCAACCAATCGCAACAGCTTCAAACGATCTGCCCATCCTTGGGAACGGGAACGGCGCTTGCAGCGCTGGCAGCAGATTCACGGCTTCCAGGGTCACGGACCAGCTGCTGGAGCAGCGGATACCTCACTGACGAGTCGGCCTTGTGATAGCCTCTGGTAAACATACAAAAAGCTATGGAAAATCACCATTTTAATAGGTAAAACCATCAAACTAAATGGTCCATGGCTTCCATAGCGAACTCTGGGAAATTACCAGAGGGTATGTACTCAGCGTAGGAATTCGTGATGGTTTCTGGTCATCCGACAAATGATATGGTTTCTGGTCATCCTACTATTCGGAAATTCCTGAAATGATGGGTTTTTCTAGTCATCTCAGGGGATGACGCTCCCACCCTGAATGGGTAGACACCTGATAGTCCTGGCTGTTAAGCCCGTCGTAGATGAATGGGATATCCCGAGATCGAGACCTTCGTGGAGTCCGAATCGCTGAGATGAACATTCTTACTGGGGCATTCTTGAAAGTGCACATTGGAATTATATCTGGTTGGTGGTTGAGCCCTACCCCTCTGAAAAATGATGGAGTTCGTCAGTTGGGATGATTATTCCCACTATATGGAAGAATAAAAAATGTTCCAAACCACCAATCAGATATAGATTAGTGGCTGATTCTAGCATATTGTCGATACCTAATGGTGCCTAATGGTAGCAATTTAGAAATATTCAAAATTGGACTAGATATACAACATATTACAATGGTAAATATCCCACTAGCAATTGGTCCTTCACCCTCATTGGAGGTATATGACTACCAGTTCATCCGGTCAGAAGTTGCTGACTTTCTGTGAAATTTCTGAGGCTTCACCTGAAACATCTAACATGATGGTGGTGGATATGCAACAGATATCTACATATCCAAAATATTCCAAAATAACATCGGGGGATCATGAATGTTTCATCTGATATGGTCTACGGGAACTATATTAGATGTTTTTGAGTTTATACCACATATCATCATATATCATCATATATCATCATATATCATCATATATTATATCATCATATATCATATCACCATATATCACCATAACATACCATGAAACAACATCATATGGGAACTCCACAAAAAAATAGGGGCCCTCGCCCAGGTGCCAGTCTCATCGGCAGCCAGAGATGGATCCGGAAACAACGAAACGAAATTGAGTCCCTGGATTATATTGACGTCGATGGTTTATCATGTTTCATCATGGTGATTTTCCATAGCAATCTGTGGCATACTACTGTACCAAAGGGTATCCCCAAATCATTAATGAAATATGATTCACAGTACTTAGAGAGTTTGTACTACAAAACAAGAGTTTTTTTGACTCGATCATTTTTGTGTTCACTAAGATAGATCCAGATGATATCCCATGAGAAAATCCCAAAATTTTATGCCGCAATGTTTGTTGGTTAAATCATGTTAACTCCATAAATCTCACCCCTGGGCTGTTTATTTGGGGTATCATTTTAATAGCAGATGGAATCACTGGGGGAACACCTAATAAGGAATATAACCAGGCTAGGACATTATTGTTAATTGCAGTATATCAGAGTTCTATCCCAAGAATTCTGCATGTATTCATCAGAAATTCTAGATAAATATAGATAAATCGCATTCAATTCCACCATTTCCAACCAAGATCAGTCCTTGAAAAACGTCGATCCCACCCAAGCCCCAATCCAAGCCGCTTGAAGCCACTCTCGCAGCAAGCCATTCTCACCTTCGGGGACGCCTGTGCGTACTCTGGGCAGGTGTAGTACACCAAGCTGAACCTGTCCCGGCTGGACTTGGGAAAGAAGTTTGGATTTACTTCAGGACCGCCCCCCAAAAAATGCAGAAACTTGGATTTACTTCACTTAACAGATTCCCCAAATATCCCCAAGTGGATGTCCCATTGGGAACATCAAAAATCTTTGGCAAATCCAGGAGAATGTCCTCAGCAATGGGCAACTGCGGAATGCACCAGACACTCCATATGCCATTCGATAGGCCATAAGTCTCAACGGTGACCTTTCGATATGTGGGTATGTCTGGGAATTGGGTATACCCACAATAATAGTACATCAATGTACATCACCCAATAGGGAAAATGAATGAACATGATGATTCATCAATGACATTATTCCGAAAGATGTGGGTAAAACAATGTCATAAACCACCCATGACTCACCTATTTATGGTGATTTGGGGGCACATTATCCTAAGACTAACCGCTATAACCCGCCGTGTTCACCTTCAGCTGCCCACATCCCAACTGCTTTGAACGAGTCACAGCTTTTCCTAACAAAACGGAATGCAGGTTGGCTATGACAAAAGAAGGGGTACAAAAACTTAAAACTCAATCCAAAGTGGCTATTTATCCCGAAAAGCTTCGTGTTCTTAGGAAACCCAACTTTTCTTTTTCCGTCTTTTTCCCCTTCTAAAGCTCGCCTGACGCCCTTGAAAGGCTTGACCGTATGCAGGTTTCTTCCTTGGAAAAGCTTTGAAAATGGAGAAAAAAATCCAGTGAAAATCAAAACCAAGGTCAAAATTAAACTGGTCTTTTCCATTAAGGCATCCAAGGCTGGTACCGCCTTGTACGTTTACATGGGATGGATTCACGGGAAATCCCTGAGATTTTCATGGCTTGACTGAAGCAGAAACTACAGAAACTACTGAAATGTCCATCTGGTTGGTGGTATACCTAGATACCTACCCCTCTGAAAAATGTGAGTTCGTCAGTTGGGATGATGACATTCCCAACTGAATGGAAAAAAAATGTTCCAAACCACCAATCCGCCATGATTGTCGCTGTAAATTGAACTTCAAATCTCCCTGAGGCCCCCCCAAATATCCCCCACTGTGTGGTTGCTGGAAGCCTTCACCCAGTTCAACTGGCAAGGTGCCGTCAAACTCCAACCTTGGCGACCAGGTGACATGGTGAGAATGGACCACTTGGATGGTGCAATCAGTGGTTGGTAGTGCTGGTTTGGTGCTTTGGAAGCAGAATTACGATTTTTCACAAACGGATTAGCAGTTTTCAGAGATTCTAAGAGATACCCTCTGGTAGACATACAAAAAGTTATGGAAAATCACTACTTTAATAGGTAAATCAACGAACTAGCCATGGGCCATGTTCAAGTTCGCAAACTCTTAGTCATTACCAGAGGCTACAACCAAAAAGTGCCAACCAGTTGACCCTTGCGGCCCATCGAATCCTGGGTTCATTGAACTGGAAACCACCGGAACATCGTCGACAAATGCTTGATTTTCCACATGGAACTGTTAGTTTGCCCGGTTTACCTGGGCTATCTTTTGAGGGGGTTAGGCGACACTTCAAGCTAGTCTCCCAGACTCATTCTGCAGAGTGTTTTACTGTAGCAATGTCAATCTAATCTGGTTGGTGGTATACCTACCCCTCTGAAAAATATTACTCAGGGATTATGACATTCCCAACTGCTTCTGGAAAGTCAAAAAAAAATCCATGGTTCCAGTCACCACCAACCACATTCAACCAGGTTTTTGTTGGTGATATATCCATACTTACAACCAGCTTTATAAACCAACCAACCATTTTATTTTTCACCGGCTGAAGCAGCTCCTCAGCCGGTTCGGCGCTTCATCGTCCATGCAGGATAGACAGAAACCATGGCTTTTTGCCAAGCGACAGACAGAAAACCAATCGACACCAAAATTTTAAAAGAGATATATATCATATATATATATATATGGGTATTTTTTAAAATATGTCACTAACCTGAATCAATTATAATTAATTAAGGCCATTTGGGGATGATTCCCCTTACTAACTATGATTTCCAGTGAGGGAGAACAGTGAGGTCGTTATAATTTACCCAGATATATATATAAACATGAAATCAAGTTTTCAACATTATATGGTCCATTGCCAGTGTTTTCTCCAACCAGTCTAAATCCCTGTCACTTCTCGGTAATCGGAACAATCATAAGCCCATGATGTGATTTTTACCAATGCTCCATTCAATATCAAAAGCAACAGAGAAAAATTCTCACAAGTTTTGCACCATTTAGCCATCCAAGGCAACACTTGAAAGAAGTACCATCCGGCGATCATGACAATAAAAAAAATCCCGCATTGATGGGATATAATTGTGCCATTCAAAGCTCCATTTCGTCGGGGGGGTTGTCCAGCCCCGTTTGATCACCAGAGGTACATGCCCCATCACAATTTATGTACTATACATGCGAAAAATTGTGGATACCCGATAGGCATCCCAATTCATCCAAATATAGACTAAAATAAGACCAATGCTTTACTCCAACCCCACAGTTTTCCAGCCCTTTACCACCTCTAAATTGTGATAAGTGGGATGATCATTTCATAAATGGGCTGACTTATTGACTTATAACTGACTTATAACTGGTACTTCGAGCCAGAACTGTAACATAACTATGGAAAATCATTTGACAAAAATCATAAATCATCTATTTTCATAGCTTATGTTCCATGAATCATCTATAAATTCATGGCGATTTACCATTCATCGGCCGTAAACTCCATGGCCTTTCTGAATGTCGCCCACCGAGGCGCCATTTGGATTTGATGTTCACGTAGTCCCCTGGGACTTCGGCTCCTTTCGGGTACCCGCTGACCGCTTTGGAGAGCAGCAAGCGGTCAGCGCCGTTGGGATCTGCGACGAAGAGTTCGCCGCCTGTTTTTCGAGAAAACCTGAGAAAAAGTCAGGTGGCCAAGCCAATGATCTATCTATACTACATATGTATGATATATATATACTGTATATATATATATACATGATGTGTACGAAATAGCTAGAAAAAAAGAAATATGATAGTGTAGCATACATTTAAGTGTTATACGCATATACATCATATATCTGTATACTGTATACCATCCCCAAGAAATCACGAGAAATGAATGGGGCCTGCAGCCCTCCATTTCAACCCAAGGTAGATCACCACAAAAAGTGGGAAGTTGTCTGCAGCTCAGCGGCTCAACACCACACAGTTGAACGGTCTGTGTATGCATATACAGTATATATATATATTTATTTAATATACCCTCTGGTTATTTAACATAGCCATGGAAAATGGTCCATTTATAGATGGTTTACCTATTAAAAATTGTGATTTTCCATGGCTATGTTAAATAACCAAAGGGTATATTTGGAAGTGCAGTTCCAGTTGTAAGTGGATACAGCTGGATAGTGAAAAAGAAGTGTATATATATATATATATCAACTTGTGGAAGTTTCGAACCATGGTTATAGCCATTTGGAACCTCAACTGCACCCCTCTCCGTATGTGTACCATACTTTTTTTCAGGGATGATCTGTGTCTAAGGGGCAGCTTCTGTGATGATACCGTCCATATGGATCATCCTGTTTCTTGAAGCCCCAATACATATACTGTATATATACCCTTTGGTTATTTAACATAGCCATGGAAAATCACAATTTTTAATAGGTAAACCATCTATAAATGGACCATTTTCCATGGCTATCTTAAATAACCAGAGGGTATAATTATATGATTGTAGTTCTATATACACACAAATAGATTTTTTAAAAAATGATCCGTATATGATTTTTGTTGGCTCAGTTGTGAGTCAAACAGCTCCCTTTTCAGTTTGCATTCTAGCCATGGCCATCTGCCATGGCCCCCACCGTGCACCTTTGTAGTCTCCAAGGCCAAAGATGAAAGAGGTGCTGTGGTTTCGGTCAGTATGGGGAGCACACTTGTTATTGCAGTTGACCTTCGGCGGCAATGATATGAGACGTTGGAAAAGAATGTGCGGATGGTCTCTAAAACCATCGCAGTTACATAGCTGCTATAGCTGGTTTGGGCAAGTGGTTAAACTGTTAAACTTACTCATTCCTGCAGGATGTACAAACCGGAGCTGACTTGGATATCTCATCATAGATCTTCCAGTAGATAGCAGGTTTGAAAGTGGTGAATCAATGTTCCCATCTTAGATTTGGAGCTCCTCATCTTCGATCATCATGGCGATGCCCATCTCCAAACTAAAGACGACTCACTACTTGCCTTCTTGACTACCCAGGAATGCTAAGTGAATGCTAAGTGGATTAGTTGAGAAAACTGTGGAGAAACCAAATCACTTGCTGGGTTTTTTCACCACCAAGTAGTCCCAATAACCACAGGTCAAACCCTCAGTAGTTTGAACTGCCTTTCTGCATCTGGCGTTGTCGTCACCATGGCTTTCAATACTAAGATGATCAATAGTTGGGATGAGATGCACAATGAAATGTGCAATGATTGGACTGTCTTGATTGAAAAGGGGGTTTCAATCATTGCAATGCCGCTGAATTCCCATCAGCAAACAGCCATCCGAACCTCATTGCAATGTGGGTATGGTTCAACACCCATGTACCCTTTTCACACCAAAATAGCCGCCCCTAGCTAGATGTTGGTTGTCAAAAAATGCTCAACTGGTCGCACTGGTATTGACAAGTGCTGACAAATTGACAAGTGCATACACATACCCTTGAATTTCAATGTTTAAAGCCTGATTGAAAGTTCATCTGGCTGCCGCTGTTTTTGTGGCAAACCCAATAAGCAATCCATTTGGGGATGATTTTACAATCCATAAACATTGCAACAGCAGGTCTCAAGGTCTGGGGCTAGTGCGGCGTTTTTAGTTGGCCCTGAAAATCGGAACCCTGGAGCCTGCTGTTGGTTTGCAAAGCCGAATGAACTACTGGGTTTACCACACTACTCATCATCAATCACTCACATATCAGGCTGCCTGTATAGAGGTGAAAAAGAATCCCGGGTGCTTCTGCTGCACGAACGCCTGAAGTTGCCGAGGTGATTTGTCTTTCAAACGATGGACGCAAGATCTCGTGTAGCCACTGCACTGGAACTGGAGAGTGATCCCAACTAGTGACTCACTGAAATTTATGTAGGTCTTTAATGGTCTTTAGGTGTAATTCGGTTGATATAAAAGTGGACCCAAGTGAGGGGGACCAGCCGGGGCCGCAGAGCCGGCCTACTGTTCCTGGGATGATCCTCCAAGATAGAGCCCGTTTTTCTTGAATGGGCTAGTGGCTAGGGGCAGGACATGCCCAGGCGATGAAGCTTACGCTGAAAAATCAACTTGACTTGTTGGTCCTGGAATTCAAATCGGCTGGCAACTATAGTCTGGTTGGTGGTATACCTACCCCTCTGAAAAATGTGAGTTCGTCAGTTAGGATGATTATTCCCAATATATGGAAAAATAAAATTCATGTTCCAAACCACCAACCAGTAGTATGTGTTTGGATGATTTATGGCAATCTTTGATGCTTTCCACGAAGGATCATTTATGGTGAGGTCCTTGTGAGCTTGCAAAAAACGCATAAAAAACTGCCCAACCCCCAGGTTCAACCATGTTCAACATCCAGGCAAATGCCATTCCCATCCAAGAACAAAACTCATTGAAAAGCATCCATGAGATGATTGAAAAACCCATTGTGACCCCAAGCAGTTCAAGTGTGAGACCCACCACAATGATAGGTTCAAGAAGATACCAATGGGCCCTCTCCTCCGCCCCCCTTTGATGTGCCCATATTCTGCTTGAACGACCATATGTTTACCTAAGAAACATGCGTTTTTTGGGGGGTATGTAAAGGTTTTCGCAAATTCAAGGTCTGACGTTAAACACATGTGATTCCTGCTGGAATACTGCAATCTTCATCAAAAAGTCAACATCTCAAAAAATCTAGCCGTTCATCTGTTAACAGGTTAACATCTCAAAACCTGATGGCTCATCCAAATACTATAGCAACGTTAAAGTATCCATCTTTCCTTATCCGGGTTGCTTGAAAAAGCACCTTGATTTGAGGGACAAACGACATCAAACTAAAATGGAACTGTTATTGATTTTTCCAGCCAGCCATGTCTGGCTATCACTGTGCCAGGGTAACCGAGCTGATCACAGCAATGAATAGTCCCAGTGCTTCAATGAAACCCCCTCTGGTAATCAAACATGGCAATGGAAAATCCAGAAAAATTGCAGGTAGCTTCGGAAAACCCCCTTCGGACCTCGAGGGTCCCCATTGCGGCTTTTTAGGGAGTTCCCAATTGCCATGTCACCGGAGGGTCCGAATCTTCATTTGGGACTGGCACAACGGGGCCCGTTGGGTAAATCTCCAGCATCCTTGATCATTGAAACGTTTTTTTCGGTATCCCGTATCCCACAGTTTTTGTTCAAACTCGTATCATATGATGTTTGTTTATACATATATATATACACACATACCCATGATGTCGCCACGATATCCGCACAAGGTCGTCCCCCCAGTTATAACTTGGCTTGTAAGCCCATCGAATTGTATATCTAATTATATACATGTGCATATGTTTAATTGTATATATTATAATATATATATACATATACATATATATATATTACAATATTATATATATATACGTATATTACAATATTATATTATATTATATTATATTATATTATATATTATATTATATTATATATTATATTATATTATATATTATATTATATTATATTATATTATATTATATTATATTATATTATCGTTATTAGTTATTTCTTTATGTATTGATCTATTTTTTAACTTACTTATGTACCATCAACCAACTTAGCTGCCTGTGGTACACCCATGAAACGAGCCACGGTCAGCAGCTTGGTGGTCCACGGGCACGTCTTCGTAAAGCTGGTGATTTCCACTCTGCCAGCGCGACTGTAGAGGCCCAGCACCACCTTCTGGACCTGGGAAAACTTGGGACATCACCGGACGCCCGGTAGAAATAAGGCGAGAGAGTTTCCCACAACAGTTTTTTGGGGGGAATTGAAGCCACAACACCGGAAAAAGACATATAAAAAGCCGGGATTTCATCACCATAAAAATGGGGATGATCCTGGCCAATCAGGAGTGAACCCACCAGAATATATGGATGTTTGCCATCAAAAAGTGTGGATCCAATCTAAACAAACCATCAGTTCTTGTGATGTTTCAGTGAGCTTGTTATGTTTCCTAGATCTGTGGTGTCTTAAAATCTCTACGTTGAATGCTTCACTTTAGATAAAATTGCAGAATTAATTCCATACAGAGATTTCCAAGTTGCGGAGCAAAAATTCATTCCACTTGTTGGCCATTTGAGGAAAACCAATGATTACTAAGAGGATTTAAGACGGCACCGCATACAGAAATCACCGCCCTATGTTGTTTCTTTGTTGCTCAAGTCCCCGTAGGAAAAGTCGTACCAGAAAACTATCAATCTAAGATGTTTGAACATACCTCTGGAATCCTTTTCCAACCATCCGGGCAATGGTTCTTACATGTTCTTACCCATTTGCCATATGTAAACATATATATAATTATATTATATATATATGATAATATATATATATATATGTAAATGCAAGTTTGGATACTGGATATCTATACTACATATATATATATATATCATACCAAGGTTGTTCGCCATTTACCAACGATGCACTTTACCAAGTCACGCTCTTCTTTCCCGCCGGCCTTGGACTCCACCGGCAAACTCGTGACACTGCTGATCTGGTGCCGGTAGATGAATACATCGATATTGATATGATACTGATGTTTTATTTACATACTAGTATATATATATAATACCATATAATACTGCTTGGTGGTATACCTACTCCTCCGAAAAATGATGGAGTGAAAGTCAGTTGGGATGATGACATTTCCAAGATATGGAAAAATAGCAAATGTTCCAAACCACCAACCAGTTAATGTTCTGCAATGTCAAATGATGTGATATTTTCATGTTACAACAAAATAATATTTTAAAAAAAAAAAACATAATGCTATATAATGTTCTCATATACTGCAAAGTTGAAGTGCTATGATGCCCATGTTTGTCAGTTGGTACCGTTGATCTCTTTTGAAGGTCCACAGCATCTGGAGGTCCTGGTTGGTGATTGAAAATCTATACAGCCTGCTAGCCATGTAAGTTTTAATTTGGGTTGTGTGAAAATAGGGTACCCCTGAATCCATTGGTTATTGATCATGTTCCCAATGTAAATTGGAATTCTTGGGGTATACCGTATACCCTATTATAGTACGATTTCCAGACACACCCACATCTAGGCTGAACATCCCTACAGAATATGTCATTATTCTAGCAAAATCTTACCCATATTCCAAGGCTGTTCATATTCCATGCCAAAATGGCTCCGGAAATTTGGAAAATAATGAACGACCTTTGATGATGAGAATAAGGTTGTGTGACCCTTGTCAGGGGCTCCCTTGTCACGTGCTGTCATGTCCAATCGCACATGTTTAACCCCGCTGAGAACCTTCTCAAGCAATGATTTCTTGAATAAACATAATCACAAAGTCTTGTTTCTCTCATCAATCATCAACTTCTCTCTAGGATCTTTTAAGACCATTGGATAAGCTGTTCAGCTTATTTTTTGACGCGTTTGGCTGGCGGCTCAGCTTCCGCATCTGTAAACGGGGCCAAGTCTGGATTACGCTGTTCTTCTTCGAACCCAAATGGTACCATATTTCCACTTAATACAGTTACATTGGGTAGGATGCCACCCCTGGAGTACGATGCCCCCCCCCCGTATGCGTTGCCGTTCCTGCATGTGGGCTTCTCAGGCATATGTTAACATCATTTTTGATCAAATCGAGGCTGCAAATTCCATTCCACATACCCACAAGGCATCACACTCTATCGCGCACGACTAGGACAACAATCGAGAATTTCCATAGCCTGCACAGGTCAAAAGTATCAAAATTTCATGGAATGCGATTGTATGCGCGACTGTTCAAAACGCTGGAAAAACAACAATTTCCCCCATATTCCATATTATCAGATTCCAGAGCATTTTACCTCCGAAGAGGAAAAAAAAATCTTCAGGTCAATTTTTCGAAAAAAAATGTTTTTGGCATTTTTTGGCTGTCTGCGCAAGTTTTTGTGGTGTACGATCCCTTTTGTGGAGTACGATGATCTGTGAGTAGGTGTGTGGAGTGCGATGGGGTCCTCTGGGGTGCGATGACACCCCTCGAGCGCGATGCGACATGAGTATGCGTGGCCGGAAATTTCCTGAGAGAAGGATTCTGGGCCACAATTCCCCAAATTCAACAGAGCGAGCGGATGCTGGTTGTTGTAATTTAACCAGATTTCAGCCCACTCAACAAACAAGTCAAACAATACTTTGAAACCCTCTCGTTCTTCAGTCTCCAAAATGGGAAACTCACTTAACAGGACACGCTTTAGCTCATCCAGGCTCCATAGCATTTCAGGAACAACACAAGGCATCGACATGGTGCCAAACAATTTCCAAATTGAGCTGAAAGGTCTTCCCATCGCAACCAGTCAAATCACAGGTGTGAAACATGTCACACACAGGGAAACAGGTTGGGAAAACAGTGGGTCCAAAGAGACAGGTCTGGAGTACGATGGATTCATAGTATATGTACATTTTCTGAATTTGGGTAACTTGGAGCTAGAATTATGTAATCCCTTCAAGGTGGTGCCCCCCAGTTGCAAGAAGCTTAAATTCCCAACAACTAGATTATACTGATCATTCTAAGCCTAGTTCTTGGATATAGAAAATATAGAAACAAAAACCAACTTGTATAGCTAACAACCCGGGGCATCCGGTAGGTTTCAACTTTTCAACCATCTTTGTCGAAGTGACATGAGCTTCCTGCGCGTTGTGGACAGAGGGATACAGCACAGTCTCAAGACCTCGACTCGCTGAGATTTGCTTCAGGAAATCAAAGTTGATGCATCCATTTCCACAGAAGAGGTAAGATGTAAGTCGCTTCAACTTGAGATTTAAGCAACAAAGATTCATGGTACTTAAGTTGGTGTATAAGCAATCTCGGGTTTTAAGTCATTGAGTTGCAAAACTGATGGTAACCCTGGATACCTTGTTTCCAAACAAGACCAAATGGATATGCGAATACATCCCACTTAGTAACTGGTTCACCCTGATAAACCAAATACGACCATCAGTAAGCTTGCTACGTGGGACACCGTTCCACTAACAAGTTGGTACATATAGTTAGATAGTTACATGTGTATAATATGTATATATATATATATGTATATATACATGGTCACCCCCCCACCAGGGCCTACCTTGAGCTTTTTTTGATGGTATTTGCGGTTAAAAAAAATATTTTCCTGTCCAGCTTTTTGTGTGATTATATACTACCATTTCTTTGGGCGTTTGGTTCCTTAAGATCAATCAAGATTAATCCAGATTGATCGGAAGCAAATCTGATTCATCTTGCCCCCCAAGGCATTCTTGTCAAGTCATTATTTAAAAAAGTTTTGTATGCTAAACATGCGTAGTATTCTCTGGGGATGTGCAATTCTTCATTTCAGGTGTGAAGCCTTTGGGGATGTAAAATTATGTTTTTGGTAAGGGAAACCTGTCCTTCAATAAAATGGTGTTCTTATCCCAGTAGAGCGCAGCTGGAGTTCTTTGAAATGAGTGTTATATATTTCCAAAGAAAAGGTGTCATTGAAAGGATTGCTACATTTTGTCAAAACATGGTGTAACTTTCAAAAGAGGCAGCTGATTCAACTTTCTTTTTGGTGAGTAAAGCCTTTCCTTCAAACAAATGGTGTTCCTAAATTATGTTTTTTGGGTGAGGGAAACCTTTCCTTCAAATAAAGGGTGTTCCTGTCCCAGTAGAGCGCAGCTGGAGTTCTTTGAAAGGAGTGTTACATACATATATATATATACTGTGTATATATATATATATGTCCAAAGAAATGGTATCATTCAAAGGATTGTTACATATGTTCAAAACATGGTGTAACTGTCAAAAGAGGCAGCTGATTCAGCTGATTCAATGTTCTTTTTGGTGAGTAAAGCCTTTCCTTCAGACAAATGATGCTCCTTCCAAAGAGATGGCAGCTGGGTTTCGATGAAAAGGGGTGTTACATTTTTTTAAGAAATGGTGCTACTTTCAAACATAAAGGCCAGCTGAGCTTCTTTGAGGGAATGCTACATCTTTGGAGGATACACTGCATATTTTGATACAATAGTGTTTCTTTTGTTTAAACTAAACTGTTTAAATACGGTTGCAATTTTAAGTTAAGTATTCAATCTTTGAAGAAAACATCATCTGCCTGAAGGAATGTTACCATGATAAAGGAAAAGACAGGAATACTGCACTCAGAGCACAATACACATTGTAGATAACACATTTTGTTTTTCTATAAAAAGAACCCAACCTTCACAAAGAGATTTCTTCCTGAAAAAACATGTGGCTAGTTCAAAAGCAACCACCAGCTTATAAATGACAAGAACTTTTTTGGTTGAAGTGGATGCTTTGTAAGGAAAACTGCACTTCTTTGAAGAACCTCATTTCTTCAAAGCAGCTGGGAATGTAGCACAGGCACAAAACTTGATAGACTATATACATATTTCTCTTTGTGCAATGAAAGCAGGTGAAAAAAAAATACATTGCCTGATAATGTTTGCAATTTTGCCTTTAGCTCAATGTGTTGCCTTTGTTGGGTCAACTGCTGCCCTCGCAGCTCAAACTCATTGAACATTATATGTACTTCCACTATTAATTAGAAAATCATTTATATAAATGAAACATTAATTATATGTACTTCCACTATTAACATCTATTAACTAGAATATAACTTCAACAATGACAGACTGCACCATGGCAAAGCATTAGTGTGAGACCAGCTGGCTACAAACAACATGTTGGGTCTACCAGGGGGGTTTGCCCGGAATTTTAACATTTGTGGGGGTGGGGTGGGGTGGGGGTGGGGGGGGGGGGTGGGGTGTGTCAACGTTGGTGTTCATGTGTACACATGGTACGCTGCTGGTGTGTTGATGTGTACACATGGTACGTGGGGTGGGGTGGGGTGTGTCAACGTTGGTGTTCATGTGTACACATGGTACGCTGCTGGTGTGTTGATGTGTACACATGGTACGCTGCTGGTGTGTTGATGTGTACACATGGTACGCTGCTGGTGTGTTCATGTGTACACATGGTACGCTGCTGGTGTGTTCATGTGTACACATGGTACGCTGCTGATGTGTTCATGTGTGCACATGGTACGCTGCTGGTGTGTCATGTGCAAACGTATCACGCAATCGCAGTGTCATGTTTGATTGTCCATCGTTTCCTCATCTTGATTGGGTTCAATGTATTTCTTCTTGCCATGTGTCTCCTTTCTGTCTGACTCTTTCTGTTTACTTCTGGTGTATGTGATATATATATATATGTATGTATACTTCATGTCTGTCTATATATGTATGCAAATCGTGTCAAATGGAAACGCTGTAAATTACAGGTGATTGTTGATTTTTCCGCCAGATTTGGCGAAAAAAACTCAAGTTTGGACATTGTCAAAACATTCAATGATCAATTGCATCTGAAAAAAAAGATATGAAGTCTACTTGTGAACAACCACATTTTATATGAAACACAGTAAAATCAACACCATGACTACAAGAACAACAAACGGCTGCGGATACTCATCACATGTAGTCACAGTCGACCTTGTTCCAAGCCGGGCAAACCCCCCCGGCGGAGCCAACATATTGGCATCATGTTATTTGGTGGACTTTTGCTGGCCCAGCGCAGAATGTATTGATGGCACTGTATCAAAGTTAACCATTTCATTGAACATGCCAATAACATCCAATAACCTGTTCAACAAATCGGGGGGTTGCCTTCCCGTTCTAACAAAAGTTGCTTACTTTTTTCAATGGAAGGTAGTACTGTAACACAATCACATGGAAACACTACAATAGTGTCTTCACAGACTTCAAAAAAAAAACATGTCTAGTTTCAAATGAATTTTGCCACACGCCTTTTCTAGTCTAATGGAGATAGAGTTTAGAGTGCTTCAACCACCCAAATAGCGATGCATATATATATAATATATTTAAACTCCTTAGCTCACCACCTCTCCCCCACACCAGAAAGAATAAACATATACACATTTTGGATGACTTGTTTTGAGTTGGGTTTTGGAAGGGGAAGGGTACCAAGGAAAAAAGAAACCCTAAAAAAAAACAGAAAAACAAAAAAATAATAAGGAAAAAAAAACTCAAAAAAAATGGGAGACCTACTTTGGGATGGGGGAAGGGGAGAAGGCTCTCCAATGCATTGGTTTTTTGTGTTTGTTGTTTTTGTTTTTGTTTTTTTTGTTTTTTTTTGTTTTTCGTTTGTTTTTGGTTTTTATGGTATTTGTGTTTTTTTTGCTTCTTTTGGCAGATAGCAGATAGCAGATGGTTGACCTCGCAATGAAACAGTCAATGAAATAGGAAAAAAAGGTAGGCCCTGGTGGGGGGGGTGAGCATATATATATATATATATACCCTCAGGCCGCCTGGTTCGCCGTCGCTTGACATGCATCTTTTTGTGTTTGGGGGGGGGGGGGGGTGGGGGGGTTCGGGGGGGAGGGTTTGGGGGGGGTGTAATAACGTCCCAACGCGCGCGGTTTTCTGGGTTTCAATGCTACGTTATCGCTTTGTTTTCAGGGTGTAAATGCTACGTTCACAGCACTGCAGGTGTACAGGGTTGCATGTTCCAAAGGAATTGTGCGAACAAGTCCCGCAGACTGCTATGATGAGAACAGAGTACCTTGGCTGCCCTGAAGAAAATTACCCCGCCGACGGCGAACCAGGCGGCCTGAGCCTGGGCGTATATATATATATATATATGTATATATATATTATATATATTATATATATATTATATATATATAACCACAGTGACTTAGACCCCATATCCCCACGCATGGGGGCTAGAATCCATTTTCACCCCGACTGCCAAGTCGGCTCCAATCGGCCAACCGCAGTGATATGAATTATCATCGTACTATGCCTAGCTTATACACCCCCAATAAAATAACGAAAATGCGATTTGCCCGGAAATAGGGTATACAGATACACAAAAATACAGCCATGTCAAAACGGAAACTGTTCAACTCATACCATTTTGGGACAAACCTATATGTGCGACGGTCAAAACTCAATTCATGTGGTGAGGTCATGGCATCGCTTCATAAGGCCCCCTATCGCTACACACAGTCCCAGCACCCTTTTCACCAACTAGGCAGAATTGCTGCTAGAAGAGGAGGATCCAGATGAGGAATCGGATTCTTATTCCCCTTGCGATGGTATCTCCAGGGAAATTCAAACTTTTACGTGATCACCAAGGCTGACGTCGACAGCTTCAGCTAGACACCAGCCGGACTCACTGCAGGTCATCTGACCTCGGAGGCCGCCCTTGGCTTGTGTTGGCTTGTCTTGGCTTGTCTTGCCTGTGCTGCCTTGTTTCTGGCGCCTTTTTTTCTTCACCCCGCCTCCTTTGCAACCTAATAACACGCCAAAATGAATCGGCAAAACCCTGACCAAATGAACCCTTTAAGAACTAACCCATTAAGAACTTGAGGGCACCCTTGTTCATACTTCCCATATTTTTCCACCTATAGCACAAGTTGTATAGTTTCAAGTGACCATGTGGGGTACTCCCTAATTTCATGGATTTCAGGTATCGCTCTGGGTATCGAGGGGTATCGCTTCGGGCATCGCTACGGGGACCAGAAAATGTGTGATCTCAGGTGTATGTTTCAAGTGACACGAAATTCTGACAAGCTCCATGTTGCAATTCTACTCCTGGACAGTGGCTTTGGAGAAGCGTCCGTGACCGCACAAGGATGCTTTTTCAACATATCTCAGCACGGTCACTACCTGAATCAACATCATCACCATCACCATCATCATCAGCATCATCACCATCATCAAGCTCATGATGCGTTATGAATTGGTTTCTTGCATACCTTATAGATCAACATACCCCAATATATCAATATTGTTTAATGTAACTATCTCATATATACTTGACGACAGGCCATCTTGCAACTACCCAGGAAGACCAGCCCACTGCGACTGCTCCAGTGTCGCACTCTGACATCAAAAGATTGGAAAGTCATGCGCCCAACAGGAAGCTTCAATCATAAACAAAGTCTAAAAAGAGGTATCGCTACATAAGGCCCCCTATCGCTACACACAGTAAATCACATATTTTGAGTAGTGATGGCGGATCGTAATTGAAGCCTTTCATAGCGTCTTTTGACCCTTGCTCATATATAATGTGGGATTCACACCAGCAAGCGATCCCCAATTTCGTGCTTTGCTATTGTGTGTAACTGAGCATCGCATGATTTACAATTATGATTTGTAATAGCACCCAGCTGTTGATAGGATCAACCCACTAAGATGCGGCTTCGCATTGTTGATAAACTTGATATCCCACCCTTCTCATTATCCAAAAACCTGCCCTCGACTTCTAGACTTGGTGTCGGTCTTCAGCCCGCGAAAAAAACGTGGAAGTTCTAAGAAGTTCTAGGGAAGCCCCATTTTTTGGACTCCTATTCCCATCCATTTTCCGTCCTATTCCCATGTTCAAAAGCCATGTTCCGGGACCATGGCAACTCAGTGGGGTCTCATCAGTAGCACGCGTAGTATATTCCAGTTATAACATGTTATAACTGGATATATTTCACCATAGTTATAGGGCTTGTAATCCAACTTATGTGGGGGTTAATTCCCATCGTTGTAGCCATGAAAGTAATCTGGCCTTTACCCCCCAAGGTACCAAGGCACCTCACAGATTACGTGCTCCTCTACGTGGTGGTTTTCGAGCGCAGATTTCGCAAGGTTCTCAGCCCGCTTGCGCGAAGCCATGTCAAGTACAGGGTCTTCTCCGCTTTTCAGAGCTTGGCTACTTCAAGTAGTGACCAATCCAAAGCAACTGGCAAATGGATGAAAAATCAGTAGAGGAAGCTTTCTTCAAAAAGCTGTTGTTGGTCCACAGCATTAACATGGCAAGCTCGAAGTTCATCTTGACTCGTGGAAACCACTGGAAATTCATTCGCTCTGTCTCTCAGAAACATTACAGCCTGGACTCGAGCCAAATAGCTGGCGTGACTCGACTTCTGCACCAACTCACCGCTTGCGTCACTGGGGCTCCAACTTCAGCGTTGTGAACGTTTCCAACTTTGGGGGAAACAAGAAAAACAACTGGACTAGTTGTCTATCGATATCTTCCAACATGAAGTGTATATACTCTCCAAGAGGATATCCATACAATACTGGTTGGTGGTTTCAACCCCTCTGAAAAATGTTAGTCAGTTAGGATGATTATTCCCAATATATAGAAAAATAAAAAAAAATATTCCAAACCACCAGTCAATATCTTCTAATCTGGTCCAATGTTGCTATTTGAGGTTGAGCTCCATGATGAGTTTTGACTAGCCACCCCTAGGCACCATGCTGTTTTCAAGCGCTCTGAAAGCCCAAAGCTTGATGGGGCCATATCTAGAGAAATTAGAAGAATTCTAATGTGGGGCCCCCAAGATAGGCAAGTTGATTTATGGCATTTATAGATAGACTTGCTATGGTATATTATATAGTTTATAGTTTACAGCAGATTTTAGACACCAACTTATAACTGTGGGGCTCTCATTACACCATCCCCGGAACGACTGCACAGGGTCTAGAGGGGGAAGTGGTTGACCCAAGCCCCAACAAGCTCCCAGGGTCTATGTTGGAGGATGGGTCACAATTAATGACATTCATAGGGTTATGGATGTGTACTCTCCAAATTTGGTAATCATAGGTTTTGACCCATCCCGTCCCATCCCCATATAATCACCAAATCACACTGAAGACATGCTTTAAGACTCCCATTTTCTACTTGCCATCATTTGCGCTGAGGTTGGCAGGTGAAGTTTCTATAAATTACTCAAAATCTGTGTGTCCCTTTGATTGTTCTTGACTTTTATTGCATCAACTTTTGCTCTGTTCACCGCATGTGGCACCCACAGGTTGAATGCGATTGAAAAGGATTGAAACCAAACAAGGGCTTCGATGTGGTAACCACAATAACCCATGACCCATGAAAACATAACAAGTATGTAAATGTTACAATTGTGTTGCAGAAACCTTACAAAAGAGAGAGAGAGAGAGCACCCCCCTTCGTCATGAGCATCTCCCGGCAAATCCCATCCCCGTATTTTTTTACACCCCCCCGTGTTTACCATGGTTTTTCATAGAGGATTTACACCATGGTTTGGTACCATCCAAAAGGGCTGTTCAATGGGATGGGATTCTTTGGGCAGACACGCCTGCTTCGTAGCACTTTGTCGCAAGTCCTGTCGCTAAAGAAATCTTGAAAAAACAATGGTAAAAACCATGTTTTTTGACCATCCATACTTTCAATAGATGGTGCTTTTAGATGGTATAGCGACTAGATGTTTCCTAATCCCAAAAATACGAATCCCATCACTTTCACTTTCATGGCGAGTAAAGGCCCAGGCCTTTGCTGCATTTGAATATTCTCTGACTATGTACAAAAGACATCTACACACCTTCTTGATGTAATCCCATACAATCCCCAAATGGACAAAAAAAAACTAAGTTGATGCTCCAGAATGCTCCAGATTGGTTTTTGCATTTGAAGTGTGTAATTTCTACAATAGTCGGTTTATGACACTTCATCCAGCTGTGGATGAAGCAATTCTTCACTGGCTGTTGAGTTCTCCTCGGGTCAACCGCCATAAAGCTACGTAGCTTAGTAGTTTATTGAAGGTTAGTGGAGGCTATTAACCATCACCAAACATCTGGCCAACTGTCTTTCTAATGATTTACTAATTTAATTCTTGAGGCAATAAATATAAGTTGGGATAGTCACTCTTACATTCACCACAATTTCGAGTGACATCGGCCAGTTACGTCGTTGTAATTCACTCACACATCATATTCGAATTGCGTCCCACTACATCCCATTGCATTCCAATTACATTACCTTTCTATCCCACTATCTCCCATTATATCCCTATGATATCACCTTTTTATCCGCAATATATTGCTGGATAAATTACATCCTCATGATACCATATAATGGATCATGACAATCTCCAATATATCAGGGCTAGTAAAACTGTACAACCTCCTACAATCATCAGCTAAGGTTTTGGAGCGATCATGTGTATAGTATATTATATATACAGTCAAAAATATTAGAGTGTGTCTTCTTATTTCCATATTCTATCTACTCCGGGATGACTATATATTATATCTATACATCTATTCAGACTAATTTATTTTCAGCCTTTGGTAATCAAGCATGGCCAGCTGTGAAATCCCCCTCTATAAATGTACCATGTTCCATTGCTGTGGATGGCTGCAAAATCCTGCACCACCAAAGGGATTGGGATGTTTACCATCAACTGGTGCAGGATTTCGCAACCATCCACAGCATCTTGGATATTATCCCATTCATATCCCATTAAAATCCCATTCATATCCCATGATATCACCTCTTTTTTTTGGTAAGATCCCTATATTTTGATGGTTTAACTGAGTTTAATCACCATTGCTATGTTGGATTCCACCGTTCCTATAGGATTTTCATCTCCACCGCAGCTCGGAAAACGCAAGCGCAGCGCTCGCCGCGCTCGGTATGCATCGGTCCTTTCTTCTGGGCCACATGTCAGGATCCCACGTCTCATACCTGGGAGCCATCCACAGTAAAGGAATGAGATAAGCTGTTGATGGATTCCGCTGTATTTATATATATATATACGCGTGATATACTGTAATATAAATAATATATATATGTGTGTGTGTGCATGTATACATATATATATATATATATGTGTATATATCTATGTATTCCGTTATATTCCTCTACTATGATATATGGCCATAGACGTTGATATCCAAATACATAGTTGATGAATACATAGTTGATATCCAGATATATAGTATATCAATGTGTTTCATAAATATAAGATTGTTATATATATATGTATATATATATATATAAACGGGCCACGGTCAATATTTAGTATATAGCTCCAAGTCTTCAATTTTTGAAGAGTGCATTATCGTTTTCCAAGCTCCAGCTCAATTTCCAAAAAATAAAGATGTCTCGTATACTACTTGCCATTACGGTAAATTTTGGCTGTAGCTCATATATATATATATATATATGTTCATCCAAGTAGGGGCGTTGATGAAAGTTTTGCAACTATTTTGGCAAAGAATTTGACGTTTCTGGCAGTTGCATCAACGAATTGATTGGTGAATTTGAAGCGGAAACTGGTTGGTTTTGACTCCTATAGGGGTTTCAAATGTAGATTGGCCTGCCCATTCTGGGAAACTTCAGTGGCGATTGAACTCCGGGGAGAAGTTGTCTGCAGCCCGGACGCTTCAATACGTTCTGTTTCAATATGTGTACCGATTCTATCCAGTGAAACAGGGTTGCCCTTTTTGACACCAAAATGTTTGGAAGAGCGCTGGATGTTCATGAATCAAACCATGGTATATAGGATAGGATTGCATATCTTGGGTATATGTGATATGAGTCATAGGTATGTAGCCATCCTCGAAGTTTCCGAGTGACATAGTTTGCGTATGTTTACCCGTTTTGACAGTTCCTGGCGCCTCAAACTACCTCAAGCTACTTGGTGTAACCGAACAGATTGGTCAATCCAAGTACCCCCCCAGCAATCCAATCTGGCATCTGAAAAGATATAAAGATTGATGGCTGATGGTGGCGACGTCTGACCCATCTACAATCCAATGAACCATCTCTGCACCAGCTGGTTTGCTGGTTGCACCAATTCAATAATGTTTGAACTTGATTTTTCCTTACCAGCAACCAGCAATATGCATGTTCTTCTCGCAAAAAAAAAACTATTGTCCACACACACACACACACTGGTCTGTGTGGTCGACCACACCCTATTTCTTGTATCTGATCCGCCCAATGAATGGTCGATTGGCCCCCCTGATTCGGTATCTGTTGGTTTATGATTGCATTACCTGTTGGATTTATGGTAGATATTGCCATAACAACAGCTGGATGGCTTTATCGATAAACCAACAAAGAAAATTCTGTTGATCCATGGGGAAATGCCGAAACTATATCCATTTATAGATAATCATCTGAACTGCATTCCATGGCTAAAAAAACAACTTGCCCAAACTGTAGGTGGTACAGTTTCAGTTACCAAACTTCTGTGCGTCAGAATCCACCATCTCGGTAAGTCCATATGTTGAAAACAGATGTTTCATGACGTTAACTCGCCATGTTTGTTGCAGTTGTTGCACATAGCTATGGAAAAAGTTTCCATTTATGGATGATATAATGATATATCTATATTCACCTCTTTAAAAAAAAAATGATTTTCCATACCAAACCGTTTCGTCCAGGGGCGAACTCCCGTCGTCCACGGCGAAACTCGTCGTTTCCGTCCAAGTGACGCTTCGATGCATGAGGCTTGGAGATTCATCGCGGGTGCCACGCTGGCATAAACGCCTGCCGTGAGGATGCCATGGAGAGCACTGCGCTCGCTGCCGGGGGGTGCAGCACGGGGATTCCGTGGTCACCGTTAAAGCCATGGAGATGTCACTAGGAAAAAGGGTGGTATCATAGGGGAGATTTCATGGTGATATGGCTATCACAAGCTTGGGGGTGGGGTTGGGGTGGAAAAACAAAGGGTATAACCATGATTAACCATGGGATTCCAACCCGATGAATTGGGATATAGCCCCTTCAACAATATGATATAACCACTTATAAGTGGAATTGCACAGCCAAGTTTCAGCCAAGTAATCTTTGGAGAAAAAATTGGGAAAATATCTCATGGACTGTTGGATGGGCTGGTGAACATTAGGTATTTCTCATGGTAGGTTCTACCTGGTAGATGTAATCAATAGATGTATAGACCAAAAACAAATAGCTAAGGGTCCACGTTGTACATGGCTAAACAATGAGCCTGCCAAACCAACCAAAATGATCACATGCGAAAAGGAACATGTGACTAACATTTTCCGGACATAAATGACATAAATGTCAAAATGACTTTCTGGGATCCTGCATTTTAAGCCAGATCCAATAGATCAAAGAGCAGTGAATTTGTTCTGAGCGTTGCTCACAGCGACGCAGTGATGCAAGGGCTGGTGTCACTAAGGCAGGGAGGAGGGGAAGCGGGGGGGGTGGGGAGGGGCCAAGGATGCGCACTAGATCCATAGAAACCAAGCATGTTTCTTCTTTTGGCCTGTTTTTTTTTCCGAATTCTTGTTGGTTGCCCTGAGTCTTAAGCTCAGCCCTTTGTAGTTCAAGAGTAGTTACAAATTGCAACCCCTTCCGTTTCACTCAATTGACCCATAGCCATACATAATCATACATACATATATATTATATATATACACACAGTATATATACAGTATATATGTATTGAAAAAAGCTGGCCAAATCCATGGCAATCAATCTTTGGCCACTTTTTGGATTGGCCATATATAAATATACCATATATCCATTTATATATATATATACATATATATATATATACTATTTATGTATATATATATATACTATTTATGTATATATATATATATATATATGATCAATATATAGGCCAATCTACACCTCCAAACCGTCCGCCGGCCGGCCCCACGGCCCACTTTTGGGCCTGCGTTGATGCCCGCGGTGTCTGCGGCACAGCCGGCGCGGTGTGTGGTCTGGCCCACGATTTGGACGCAGCTGTTGGAGGCCTCCAACGGGGTGAAGCAATGTCGACCATGAATTAGTTATTTGTTCATTACTATTAGTGACTATTAGTTGCTAGTACTATTGGTTACTATTAGTTAATTACTATTAGGTAATTGTTTATTACTAGTTATTAGTTAGTTACTTATTAGCAATGTTATTAGTTAATTACTATTAGTTTCTATTAGCCAATGTTAACCATTTAGACCATCAAGCACTACTAATGTTATAGCAGTGTTAACCAGTACTATTAGCCAACCTATAGATATCTATAGATGATTAATTAGTTATTAGCCACCAGTGAAACCTAATGGTTCACTAATGACTCATCTAATGGTTCACTAGTGGTGGTTCACAACTAATCATGCCTCATCAAATGGCTAGTAACGGTTCACTCACTGATACTTATATAATGGTTAGTAATGAAACGTGGTTAAATTGATGATTTATTGATGATTTATTGATTATTCATAATGGTTGGTAATGGTTGGTAATGGTTGGTAATGGTTGATACTTATCAAGAATGGTTCAGTGTAACGTATTAACTTAACTAACCTATAGATGTGGGAAATGGACCATGTCTGTCTAGATTATTTACCTATAGAAAATGGTGCTTTCCGCGTCTATGTTGGTTACAGGAAGGTAACTAACTCAACCATTGAAGATATGTACTAATCTTATGGGGGTTCAACTAAACTAGTCATCAAACTAACTAACTCTTTTGAACTAATGTCAACTTGAGTTGAACTCAACTAACCCTATCTGAAGATTAACCGTAGGGTGAATTGTTACAGTAGCTTAGTTGTAGCATTTCTTAACTAAACCAAGTGATTAAAAAGATGGAAACAAACCTATGTCAAGAAAACCATTAGTTGAGAATTCAAATTTAAATTCATTAACTAATTCAACTAACCCATTGAAAAATTGAAACTAAGCATTAAGTAACCATTAGTTGATAGATTGAAACGTATTAATTGAACAACCCTATTTGAAGATTAACCTTAGGGTGAATAGTGAAAAATTGTTTGTCAATTAAGTAGAAAACCGTATTTACCTGACTAACAATTCTTAACAGTCTCACTGGAATATGTATCCCTGGAGTCGTCAGTGGGTATCATTTAGTTATGAAATAGCCCAAGTATATGCGGAGTATCCCCAAATAGATTAATGGCGTAGATACAATATGATACAATAATGGGTTATAAATCCGTTATGATGCCGGGATGCACGTGACCAAGCATGGATAACCATCAGAAGAGGTGGTAGAGACAATCATGGCTATGGAAGATAACACCAGGTCACCAACTCAAAATGTCGGGCTGAGACCAAACATCTAGTGGGATATAATGGGACTATAATCTATAAGTATGACCAACGATGTAATTAATGGAATCAATGATAGGCCAAATTTTGATACTTAGAGGATCAGCACACTTCGTAAGTGGTTAAATGTGGTGAATGAATGTGTGAATCAGTGGGCTTCAGCGAAATATGCCACTTTCGCTCTGAATGCTTGTGGAATCTACTCGGGAATGATATGGCTTATGGATGGTTATGGTTTCCTCTCGGAAAGACACCATAAAATGTGGATACGTCTGCATCAGCTGAATCTGGCGGCGATGAAATCTTGGCGTTTTCCTGGTTGAGCCAAACACCCCCAGTCGCAGAAACGGCTCTTTTTTCCCCATGGCGGTGTTTGAAAACAGAGTATACCATTTTTCACCTTCAAAATGACGACTTTAAGAGGGACCATGATTAAACATCATATCTGATAGTACAGATTATACCATGATGTTCAAAGATTCATCAGCTGATTTTAGTGTACTATCTTTCAACAAATCCATGCAACGTGGCTTCGTGGCGTCTTCTGAATTTCGGTGACATCAACGAAAATGAAAAAAACGCCATGCAATGTGTGAAAAGGACATTACTACATATGTGTCATGGTAAAAAAAATATGGTGTGTGTGTATATATAATAAACATACTTATATAATCTTATATAATCTTACATAATCTTACACAATCTAACATAACCGACATAATCTTACATAATCTTATATATCATATACACATGGATTGATGACGATCCTCAAATATCATCATTATCGCTATATCACATATGGCTTTGTCATGCTTTGTCGGAAATATCGTGTACCCACCCCCAAAAAAATGGAAAAAAACAGTTCATCGTTTTCCCATTTTTCCCTACTAAAACCACCAGTTCCTTGGTGCCATCACCATATGATGGCCATCTGCTCCCGAAAAACGACGAGCCCGGCGAGCCCGTTTTGCCCAGCGGCCAGTGCGAAGAAGCGCGTGGCAAGACTCAGCGTCCCCATGAGACCAATGATGTTGATGGCGCCTGGTAACGCGTCGCGTCACTGGGCCAGGCCAGATAGGATTCTGTTGGTAAAAACAACCATGTCACCTGGTAAACTGTGAAGTTTATGATGGTTTATGGTAGATACATCGAACCAGTAAGATTGCTTTATTTTGCAACATGAAGCAACTATCTGGGAACCCTACATGAACGGACGCTTGGGATGAGCAACTGGCTGTAACTGGCTCAATGTGAAGGATCATCACTGAAGTTGGGAGATGGCTAGTAAACTGACTTGTCCTTCTTGATAACTAAGAGATCTGGTTGATAACTTGCCCACGTATCTTCCGCGTAACTACTTCTAACTTCTAACATCATAGAACTAGCAGACATTATCAAACATGGGTATCTCTGCAAACATTGCAGGTTGAAGATGTCGCAATGAGCATGCCGAGAAGTCCGAGAACATCGAAAAGGAGAAACTGGCCAACCAGAGTGCAATCAAACAACAGGGGAGTTTGTCCAAAAATTAATAAAAAAACAAGTGGTTCTTCAAGTTATTGGGTCATGAACGGGTACTGTGCTCCACGTTTGACCCAAATACGTCCAGTGACATGGCTGTGTGCGAAAATAGGCTCCCCAGATGATCATCTGGGGAATGATGGAGCTCGGGTCTTCCCCGAAATGTTCAGGTCCAAAGCCATGCGTTTGTCCAAAATGGCAAAATGGGCCTCAAAATGCCCAAAAAAACATGACATACTATGACCAACATTGACCAACCAGCCATTTTTCACAGTTTTTTCCCTATTTTTTCATGGGCCCCAAGTCGGGCCCAAGGGAGCCACCCTACTCCAACGATGTCCAAGTGACACACACGCTTGTCGTCCTCATCAATGAGTTCCTCCTCTGAGCAATCTAACGTGCTGTCCTGGACCGAGATATGGCTATACCCTCTGGTAAACATACAAAAAAACTATGGAAAATCACCATTTTTAAGAGGTAAATCAACTATTTCATACGATTTCTATGGCCATTTTCAATAGCGAACTGTTAAATTACCAGAGGATAGTGATGATCGCCATCAAATGTGGCTGGAAAATCCCTGCGGCCAAACTAGCCATGGAGGTTTCGTTCGCTGGGAAAATCATCGAACTAAATTTAAATGGCGAATTGTCCACTGCAACTACTAACTAATTTGGTAAACGCAATGCCACAATAATCATAAACCATCCCCAAGTTTGAGGTTTATGAAGTTGAGGAAGAAAAGCTGACTGGGATGATGTCTGTAAAGGGGTGCAGTTGTTTTTTGAAATATGTTTGTCTTTGGGATTGGGAACTATAGCCTATCATGTCTCAATGGTTTTCATCGATGTGTCCATGGTTTTCGTCTTGTTCATGGATTGTTCAATGGCTTTCATCGATTGTCATCTATTGTTCAATTGTGTTCATTGAATTTTCACTGGTGTTCATTGATTTCTACACCCAGTCATGGTTGGTTAATGGGCTGATGGCATTTGGTTTAGCACAGTATAGTGATCATCGTCTTGTGCATAGTGATCACAACCATGGGATTGTTGACGTATGAGCATCCCCCCCAATAACACGGGGTCAAACTCGAGTCAAGGGTCAAGCGCACTCAGAAAAGGGTTTTTTTCCTAAGCTCCTAAGCATCAGTTCTGGAGACTTTGGGGATATCATCCCGGATATCATGGGATTTAGTAAACCAATATGTGCCATGGTAACTCGTTGGGATTTGAACATGGGATATGTTCATCCTACCACCATGGGATTCCCATGGATTCCCATGGGGAGAAAAAACACCCCCGGTACGTAACTCCTCTACCCCTTTCCGAAAGACCCCTTTCCTTGTCATACATTTTCGTATAAAGACGGGGGGGTGACAAGGTTTGGCGCAAGCAGAGGTGTCACTAGGAATTACACATTTATCATCGCAGGTAGGATGGAATAATATGGAAAATAAACAGGCCAAAAAAACATCCAAAACCACCAAGCAACAATAATTCAACCACTGCCAAGCGTCGGCAATGATCACCCCTGACTTCATGACAAACCTACAGCTGTCAGGGCATTCAGGGCCCGGGTTGTCGGTTGAGTTGGCAAGAAGAATGCCCATCGTTGTGACGAAAATTCTTTTTGGGTTCAAGATCGTTCCGGTGAAATAAGAGATCTAACGGAAACGCGTAAAATACGTAAGTTACAAACTGCAGACATAAGAGTGTGCATAATACATAATGCCATCGAAAAAGGATACAAGAGTCATCTATCACTCTTTTGTAGTGCTTGTAGTGCATTCTATGTCATATCATATAGTTATTTATTATGAATGTGTTTATTCATCCTTTATCACGTTCTTTCCGTATGGTATTATTTATGATATCATGATGTTTCTATCTCTTTTTGGGGTTGCTGTAGATAACATTTTTTTGCAGCTAAGGAACGTCACTGCCAGATCAAGGTGAGCCACACATCCTCATCATGTCGTCGCCAAAAAGGGAAAAAATGTGAGAAATGTATAGAAAATTCAGCATCAAACGATGGGATTTTGCAGATTCCAAATGGAAATTTACGATGATTTTAATTGCTAGAAAATCACAAAATATGATGATGAATGATATGAATGGATGGTTTAGTGGGAAATTTACAGGATCCAGGATGGTTTGTCTTGTCAAATACGGAGGGGTCCTTTTTCCAACAACTTCCTCCGATCCAATGAATATCGTTTGCAGCGTCAACCAGTGCGAGGTGAAACTGTAAACTGTCAACTGAAGAGTCTGAAAATCACCCTGCAATGCTTGTCGAAGATGTTTGTGAATCACAGTTTTGGAGCTTCGCAAATTTAAGAAAGATCCTCTGCCAAGCGCATGGAAAGCCTCCTCATGAATTCCATGGTTTTGTTTCCAGCATGGAACCCGCGGCATTGGCATCACTATGCCACACCCCAAAGCTGATGGAAGGCTGGTGGTGAACTACCCTGGAATCGTCAAGTACTGTTTGTTGACCCCAGTGAAATAACTGGACAAGCGGCTTGTTGGGGAACTAACTGGGCTCCACATGGCTGGACTACCCTATTGGACTATAAAGCCACCAACCACGACACCGAGGCACGTGAGATGGAGTGGAAGACCTCGTCTTTGGGAATCGCTGGGTCCGGTGGCAGAACATTGGTCACCGGCTGGCGCGCTGGAAACTGCTGGAGGTTTTTGGACCGTTTTGGACAGTTTTGGGGGCTGAAAATGGGGCCTCCCAAATGATCGCTTTCTCTAGGGATGATTCACCGCTTTCGGGCCGAAGCTGAAATTTTCAGACGCCATTTGATGCCTGGAGAATCAACTCCCAACTAAGTGGGACGATCCTCCAAGGGTCCGAGGATGGAAAATCAAATGTCAACCACTAACTTTCGTCTTGGAACTGTGGCAAAAATGTTAACTGTCATAACTGGAAAAATGAATTTCTATGTGTTCCAAATTTTAGCACCTAGCTGGGTGTTTCAAAACATACCGAGGATTGCTCGTCATTGGGTCCTTGGACACCATCATCTCTGTTAGAGTTAGAGCGTACATTTAAAAAGAACCACTAACCAGCTCTAGGCTTCAAGACTTTTGGTAAATATGGTTCGAAGATGTTCGAAGTCAGAAAAATTGGATGTTGAGACATAAGCATACAAACATACATAAGCATAGATCAAGTAGGGGCTCGGAACTGAAGCATGATGATCATGATGGCTGTCTTGATAGCATGCTCACGGGCAAGGTTTGTGTTGTTCCCATGGCCCCGTGGCCCCATGGTCAGGTTAGATGGGATTTTCCAAGTGGTCATCCCACCATCATTAAATGGGAATTCCGACCAACATGGGTACCCTGTTACCATCATTTCACCCAATTTTCATAGGGGAGACGATGACGGTATCCCAACTCATGGAGGAATCCCCACTCTGCTGTTATATGAAAGTAAGTCTCTCAACAGAAATGAGGTCTCTCAACCCATTGCCAAAATCATTGCATGCCATAGTGGAATCATTGCCACAGTATCATTACAGTATATGAGTAGCGGACAAATGTTATACCATGCGCAAATTAGGATCGTCCCCTATCGGTTGTGAGGATTTCAGTACTCCCAGAGGTATCACAAATGGGGTATCAATATAGGGTCGTCCCCTATCTGTTATGAAGGTTTTGTGCACCCTCAGAATGGCCAAGGCGAAGCAAGACTAAATTAGTATTACAATAATTTTGTCGGTTACTCATACACTCCGATTCAGTTTCAGCATGAGTATGCCCAATACGGAAACCAAACAAATGGGTTGGTAAGATGATATTCCGTTGGGAAATGGCCGTTTTGTGGCTTCTAAGTATTCTATGTGAGAAAACTCCGGGTTTTTTGATTCTGATTTACATACTTAGACCATGCAACAAAGCCCATAGGTTTAATCCATGTTTTAATCCCCTATGGCCCGTTTGGTGGCTTGGTGGCGCCGGTTCAAGGTCGCGCTGATCCCACCCTGGACCCTTTCCCACGTCTGTCCTGATTATTCCTGATGAGAAACTTGTTGATCTGAGCGTTTTTTGCGGTCATCCAGGTCTGGAAAGGTGGTGCTCCATAAGTTTTTCATCAGTGTGTGATATCGATTAAGGCTATACCGTATGTTGATAAATCTTGGTTGATTGGTTTATTATTGGGGGATACATACCCAGTTCGTTCAGCAAGTTGGTTTACAAGTAGGCAAACGAGGGTTTATGCTACAGATATCGAACTACTTCATTGGGTTTTTAGGCCAACCCAAAAGAAAACTTGCGGTATATGGGGTATGGTCATTCATCGCTTACAGTTTACAGTATATCTTGGGAATCCAAAGATGATGGGTCTATAAATCCCTATGAATGCAGGGATGACTATCCCCGATATGGGCAACTTTTCTTATGATTTGACCATGGCACTAGTCCCAAAGTAATAAACAACTGGATAACCCTGGTACTTAGGTGGTGGCCCCCGTTGTAAGTGGGTAATCCATCATAATCCCATTAACTATAGATATATCTACCATAAGTCCTAGTTGTTAGAATCCAAAGATGGTTAATGGGTTATATATCTATCTAGTTATAGATATATCTACCATAATCCATCATATCCCATTAACTATGTATTTAGGGAATCCAAAGATGATGAGGTTTCAAGTACTTTCTCGGACTATCTGCTAGGAAACAAGCCGCTGGCAAGCTCCAACATCACTGCCTTGAGCCGTTGGAAATGGAGCCACCGGGGATGACATTTTTTTGTTTCCAGTCAGTCACCAAAAACCCAACCATTTAAGGAGCAACGTGCGGATTTTTATCCCCAATCCCTGCGCATGTAGATATGTCCATTTCAGCGATACATATATATATATATATAATATGTAAATATATGTAGAAAAGGTCAGATAAATCCCCATCTTTGCTACTAAAATCCACATTTCTGCTTGTGAAAACACCATTCTGCTGCATATGTCAAATCCTTGCTTTTTGTGGACAGTGTCAATTGTGTCTTATGCTGGTGGTTTCAACCAATCCAAAAATATAAATTAGTTGAATTATATATACATGTATATCCTCAGAATTCCCCAGAATCACCCATCGTCTGTTGGTTTTACTTCATTTTGGTGGGATATTTGGAACCACCCACCAATAAATTGCTGAAAAAGTCCGGTTTTATCCCATGATATCCATATTCATATCCAGCACTTTTGGGGATACACATATATAATCATACATATATAATCATATAATCATATAATCATGTAATCATATAATCATATAATCATATAATCATATATTCATGTACATATATATATATATAGTATATCATAATATATATATATGTATACATACATACAGTATATTATCATATGTATACCATCATGTTCATCCAGCAGCACCGAATTGCACCTCGCGTTGCAGGTCGTCCCGAGCCTCCCTGCCGAGGGATGCCGAGACATGGAGCGAAACAGGGCAGGGAGCTTTGGAAAATCGATGGTTTCTATGGGAAATTTTAAGGGAAATTCTATGGGATGTTTTTATGGGAAAATCTATGGCAATAAAAAATCGTAAAACTGCAAAAAAGATCCGATAGCATAGCTTCATGATATGACACGAGCCATTCGGAGGCATGGATTGCATTTCGCAATTTACATGGCATACACAGACACACATGTTTTGGCATTTGGAAGTGAGAAACCGAATTGGAGATGAATTTATAGAAATCCTCAACATGATATAAAAGTAAATCATCAATTTTTTTTTTGGTGTTTACTGTAGTTGAAGGGGCCACACATATGGCATATTCATGGCCAAGCTTGGATTCCCTGCATTTGACTGCTGCTTACAATATCAATCCCCATATATCGCTTGATATACCAGACCCATGTTAGTCTCCCCTTCGCCAACCCAGCAATCAAATCAAAACAATGTCTTGACTAGTCTTGATGATTACAACCCCTTTTCACCCCAGTATGCCTAGAGAATATTATGTTATAGACATATTTATCTGGCTGAATTGTGATAATTCACAACTCTTGAATTTGTTTAAATCGAGGGCCAGCTATGAGGATGATTCTGGTAAAGCAGGAATAAATCATCTCGATTTTCCCATAAATGGGTGCTATTAACCATCAATCAATATGGGTAGTTTATGACATTGCTTTACTAAATTGTTGGTTGCTAAATCCGAATCCCACTATCCCATTGTGCATCTGTGGGTATATATATATATATTCAGATACATATACAGTATATATATATATACAGATTCCCATTCGTGTTGGCTAAATCCACACAATTCCCTGTGAACTAAGATACTAAGGTTTACTATACTAACCCGTCAAACCATCATTTGTGATCAGCGGTTTGTTAATTATTGCTTTACTAACATTAATTTAGAGCTATAAAAAGTTACATTCCCAAATAAGTTCCATAAGACTTACCAAATATTTTAGAACTCCATTGCTTTACTAACATGAATTCTCATAGCTCCATTGCTTTAGGAAATCATTACTGAAGCTACTACTCTATTGGAGCTTCCGGTCACGTCACGACGGAGCTCGGGTTGCCCGACTGCAATTCGATCTGCCTCTCTTCGATGCGATCCTGGTGATACGTTCGGACACCCCATGGCCAGTGTTGAACCTAGGAAAGCCCCTGCGAAAACAATGGAAAAAACATAGAAAAATTGTGATTGAATAAGATGTATAGCTGATTTATGGTAGATAAGTTGGTTTATAACTCTACTGACTATGGTTTGTAAGGGATATATCTATACTTTACTTTACGGGGTCTACAAACCAACAAACACAACTGGGGGGCCGACCTGTGTAGCTATGGTAAATCATATTTTTTAAGTTCTGTAAATCATCTGTACATGCGTCATTGGCCATAGTGATGCTAAATTACCAGAGGGTATGTAGTTCCTTAAATAAAAGGAAAAATATATATATATAGCCCTATGGATCCAAATACCTTCGTCGGAAGTGTGACTGGGGCATGATGACTGGGGGGGTTAGCCGTACCTTCTCAGGAGGTGTTTGGATCCATAGGGTAGCATATATAGATATATACAACTTGGCATTTATAGTTGGATATCACCTTGTATATATAATATGTATATATACTTGGTGGCTCATCCCACTTAGTAAGTGGGTTGTAACCCCAGTTATAAATGGGATAAGTAGGGTTAATCCACTTATAACTGGGGTTATAACCCACTTACTAAGTGGGATGAGCCACCAAGTATATATACAATAAAAGTCTATAGAAATGAGCCTCGCACCTTGGAGCACACCGAAATGAGCCCAGAAAATTCGACGAAGTTTGAATCGGAACTCCGCGGTTTTGGGGTTTTTTCAATGGCTGCAGGGCAACCAGAAATCCAGGAAGCAGGTTTGTAGCATCTTTATAATTGGAAATATGAATATCAAACATATATCCCATTGTTAATGAGATACTATACCAATATTGTTATATATACTATGAGTACTGGTACTAGTAACATGGAATCAGATCTCTCTGTATGCCGGCTTCCTTCTTAGAAATTTCTGTCTCAAGAGCAGCTCAAAATGCTCGGCAAACATCAGAGTTTCGCTGGTCAAGAGCTGTTTGAGCTGCATGGTTAGCCCTGAAGACCAGCCAGCAGCAACACTTGCAAGATACTCCCCCAAATATTGGTTGATTGAAAGAAGTTTATTAACCCATCAGTAGTTTATAAACCCACAAAGTAGATTGAGAGAAGTTTATAAACCCTTCAGTAGTTTAGAAACTCAAATATGAGTACATTTATAGATGTTGGCCCATCAGTAGTTTATAAACCCACAAAGTAGATTGAGAGAAGTTTATAAACCCATCAGCAGTTTATAAACCCAAATATTAGTATGATGTAGATTGACAAAAGTTTATCAACCCGTCAGTAGTTTATAGAACAAAACCTGGTTGCTTAATGCGGGTGATGTTTTTCATCATAGGTCAGTTCATAATCCGCAGAAAAAAATGCAAGAATCATCCAGAATCCCGTTCTAAGTAGAAGAACTACGATACTCCCAGCTTCTAAGCATGACGACGCCCGGGAGTTTTTCGCCACTATCCCACAGGATCCCTGGCGGGCAGGGGATCTAGAGGACAGCTCAAATCTGCTGCCATGGCAGTGCCGGCCAAGACCAGGACGTTGCCTCGGAGGTTTCCTATGGATGACCATGACGACTCGGGACATGAAAGCCATGATTTCCCCGAAAATTTAAGAAATCCCCATTTCACAGCTGCCTTTTTTATAAAAATTCGGGGCAGAACCAACGAAGAATGGGGGGTCGACGGCCGGTGATGTTGAAGACGCAGCGAAAGGTCATGCCCTCTCGTCGCAAAAAAAAGGGGAAAACCTCGGAAATCCCTCAAGAAAATCGATTGAACACTCGCAAGGCGCGCCTTCGCAGATCCAGCTTTCCAAGAAAGGATTTGACAGGAAACACCTAGATTTCACTGGTGAAAGCATTGTTTCCTGTCGATTTTCTTACCAACCCACTGAAGCTCAGCCCCTCAGATTTGTTCACCTTTCCCTTGCCCACCTCTACACGCCCGGTTCATGAACCCCCCAAAAACTGTTAGAATTTACTAAGAGTGAATCCTAACCAGCCACAACCACGTTTATAAGGGCAAATCTTAGTTCACCGTTTGTGGGGGTTAGAAACATTCCTCTTCGACATTCGCTGAGGTGTTACAGTGGAAGCTGTCTAATCCATCGGGACATGTGTGAGTTGTACCGTACCATTTCACTCGGCTCCATACGGAAACGGGATGGACTTGGAACTTGGGATTGCAAAGGGATATAGGGTCGTCCCCTATCGGTAATGAAGGTCTTGCACTCCCCAGTATGGGCCACCATCCTAAAATGGCGCCAACCCAAAATGTAATGGTGATGGTCATTTCCCAGTTTAGGGGGCTTACTTTTGACCCACGACCGCATGGCAATAGAAACTACCCCTGAATATTCAAAAGAGGCATCCTTTTCTAAGGCTTTCGGAGGCATTGAAGATTCATCAACACAACTGACATGAGCACTCGTTTGTGCATAGCGGCTTGGGAATGCTGAAGGATCTAATTCTGCTTTGGATGGGCTATTGAATTATTGGACGGATGCTTATACATGTCGGTTTTGGTTGGCTGATTGGACATACCAATTTGAATCGTATGAACTTGTTGGTCTTGAAATGAAAGCGTTTCTGCGTGTGCGCGTGCGTGTGGGTGTGTGTGTGTGTATGTGTGTCACAATACGATATTTGGATTCTCATGGAATGGGAGGGGTGACAATAAACCACCAAAACTGGGTTTTGACCCTACTACATAATATGTAGGTTTCCTGAAATAGAAGTACCCCCAAATGGATGGTTTATAAGAGAAAATGCATTTATAAATGGATGATGCAAGGGGGTACCTCTATTCTAGGAAACCCCTATGCCTATATGTGTCCAAAAATCCAGAAACCATCCAAATCATCTCCAAGATCCCCTCCAAGTTACCGATAAAGGCATTGACATTGGCAGCCTTAGCGCCGTACCAAATTGGTGGCGAAATTTCGCTACATAGACCTTCTTTATGGTACCTGACATGGCCATTGAATGCCATTGATGTATTGGTCAACTAGCATCATGACCATCATCCTCGTCAACATCATCGTCGTCGTCGTCGTCGTCGTCATCATCATCATCATCATCATCATCCACAATAACCTTGAATGTTGATTTTTGTTTTTAAACTGTTTTATCGTCAATATGTTTGATCTCCTGATTTTGGGAACAAATCTCAATTTTCCTTGGATCTGACCCAAAAAAAAGTGGAGGCTAGCTGGAATTCGGGCCCAAGCACGTCCCGGAGTGGTTTTGAGGTCATCGCGATTTGGAATCCCTCAATAAACAATTTCTATTGAGGAGTACCTAACAGCGGGGTTATGTTAGATACTCTATTGGATGGCGCAAAAATCATTGACATAAAATGTAGCTACTTCTCCTTCAGATGAATTTTTTCGGTTGCTGACCATTTTTTGGCTGCTAAAACACAAATGTCGTCCCAGAGGAACATAATAGGATCAATGGGGATTTAGGTTCTTCAATTATCAGTTATAATAATTCAAAATGAAATTAAGTGAGGTCGTCTGAAAAACGAAATTAATGTGACATCGTTGCCCAGGTTGAGGTCGTTGAACACGCTTTGCCTGGCAGCACGCATACGGATTGTTTAACTAATGACATGACATGGATGGGCGGGTTTGAGGGTCGGTGTTTGTTGGGTGGATAATATATTTGTGATTGTGTAAATATAAGCATAAATTTACGTATATATAATATGTCCATGTAGTATGTACATAAATCTATCCGTCAATATCATGATCGAATCTTCGGTAAATCAATATATTTCTAGATATACAATATCTGGGTAGAAATCACGTGGGGTTGTCTCAATCTCCAAATCCGTCTGTTTAAAACTTCATACACGACCGACCGATATGTTTAGGAACGAACTCACCGACATGCGTGGGTGAGCTTGAATACACCTTTTGATGCACAGTGAAGTGGTCTTCAACTAGCAAACAGCGCAAAAGAAAGAGAAAGGGAAAGAGAGACAGAGACCAGCCCCACATAAATAAGCAAGCAAGACTGGAAACCAGCATAGCCGGAACTGCTATCCCGGATTCAAGCAACGACAGAGCCCAGCAGGGCTGCCAGCCAGGTAGAATGCAAAATCGCGCGTAGGTCGCCGATCTACGCGCGTTTTTGCGTTTGCCTGGCGCGGGGGGCCCGTGGAAAGCAACCAAGGCCGAAAACCAGCGTAGCCGGAACAGCTATCCCGGACTCCGGCAATGACAAGGCCCAGCGCGGCGGCCTGCCAGGTAGAACGCAAAAGATCGCTCATCCACGCGTACTTTCGCGTTTTGGAGGTGCAGCAGCGCCGCAGCAAGCAACCAAGACAAAATTTCAGCGCAGCCAGAACAGCAACTTATGAACCGCAGATCTGACCCGCATCAGTCAAGTGCATAGCAAGAACAGAAAAATCAAACACGAAAAAGAATGCTAAGCATCAACCATGAGCGTGGCTTGCTACACTGACCGTGTGATGACTTGCTTCCTTCAAGCGAAAAACGCCAAGCCCAAGCCTATGAACGGCGCACCCAGGGAGAATTGAGCCGCTGCTGCACCAGGGCTCAGAGCTCTAGTCCGCTGGATAGGCCGACGCGTCGGGGCCGCCGGGTTGAAGCAGCGCTCCCGAGCCTATCAGGCTTCTCCAAGGTGCGCTGGCACTGCTCTGCCCGGCGCCCGGGGTCAAAAAGCAAAAACGTGCGTAGATCGCCGATCTACGCGCGTTTTTGCGTTTCCGTGGGGCAGCGGCCCCACGGCAAGCAACCGAGGCCGGAAACCAGCATAGCCGGAACAGCTATCCCGGACTCTGGCAATGACAAGGCCCAGCACGGCGGCCTGCCAGGTAGAACGCAAAAGATCGCTCATCCACGCGTACTTTCGCGTTTTGGAGGTGCAGCAGCG